CCTCTTTTAACTACAGTAAAACTACACTGGACTGAACATAAAATAAGATCCTCTCAAAGACAATACTGCGAGGCTCAGTAGAAGGGAAGTTGAAGACATAGGTATAGAACCTAACTGAATGGACGGGCCTTAGACATGCATCTATCAAGTCCATTGCAGCGTACGTACAATCAAGTAGTTACAGAGAGAGCCACCAACGTCTGTATTATTTCTCCGTGCCATTTGCCTTGTGTTCTGAAGGTTTTCGGTTTTATTATGGTTCATTCTTTGGTTCCTGAGCAAAGTGTTTTAGAGATCACAAGGAGATATCACTGGGGTTACTCCATTGTGCCAAGTTCTCAGTGGGCAGTCAGTCACCAAGCATAGAGAGAGATACGGCCATATGGGATTAAATTCAGTGTCAGGTGCTTTATTAATATCCTACCCCAAACAGGAAAAATCTACAGGTCACGAGACAGTCTAAAATTTCAGGGGGGTGGTAGATAGGCTGCATGCAGTCGTGGCACCTAGGCTACATTCTCTCGTGGGGCGTAGGTGGGTTGGTGGTTAGGGCCAGTTCTAGATGTTTTAGGTTCGTTAAAAGCATCAGAAATCCGGGAAACTGAGTCTTACCACCCTCTAAAATGTTGGACTGTGAAGTGACGTCATCTGAGGAAGGATATTAATGTCGATCTTCTTATCTTTCAAATCCTTCTGAACTATATGGCAACATTCCATAGTTTACTCTTCCAACACACTTGACAGGTTATGGTGCCATTTTTAGATAAATGTTGAATTTAGAATCGACATCACAGAACTTGGAAGTTTCCATAAGTGTTTCGTCCCCATCTTCAACTGAAAGCGCAGACGTGAAATTCTGATGGAACCAGTAACAGTCTGTATATTCGTCTCCTTTGAGCATCAGCTAGATCTCCTGGTCACTCCTAGAAGCACCATTCTCCTCAGACAGTGATGATCTGCGGCTGCACTGTTTACTGGCTCCCTAACGGCCCTTACAACATCAAGCTTCTACATCCAACTCACTTGGTAGATTATGGTGGTACTATTCTTCACTTACCATTTCTTCTTCTTCATCCTTAGCCCTTAAGTTTCCCTGCTGCAGATAACATCCGCCTCCATTCATTTCCTGTGATCAGCTTTCTCTTTCCTGATGGAGACCAATTGTTTGTATGTCTGCCTGTAAATTATCTCTCCACATTCATCGTGGTCTGCCTCATGGTCTACTAATAAACTCTTGTGTGTATACAGTTTCTGTCTGTTATCTGCCATTCTCTTCTAAACTTCAGCAGTAAAGTTCTGGCTGTTTGTCCTCTTTAGGAGCACTAATTAGTCAACTTTTAAGACATGCTTGTTAGGGTTGCTGTGCTCCCCCCCTCTCTTCCACCAGAACCTAAATAGGGAATGATGTCATTAATGAGTAATGATGTAAACAAACATGAATTTAGGATCTTTACTTTATGTGGATTATTCGCTGTGGTGTAGTGGCTAGACTCTCGCCTGCGGATCGGAAGGTCATGGGTTTGGGTGCTGACGGAACCGTCAGAAGGTAAAGTGGCCAGTGTGACGCTGACACATCACCCACCAAGTGCCGATTTGTCTATAAAATATAGGTCTAGCCCTATATGCCCAATGCGCCTGAAGGCGTGGAAAAAGGACCGTTACTTTTATTGTTTTACTTCATGTGAATTATTCCCTGAAAAAAGCCATAGAGAAATAAATAGCTATCACGCTATCCTGATGCATGGGTTGTGTAATCCTGATCTTCAGGTTTTTCAGTCAAGGGGATGATTCTGAAGCTACCTGATCACTTCCTTCCCTAGCTGTCTATCTTGTTCTACTTTCAGAATGGAGAACTAGACTGTAAGCCCTATATGACATGCAGTACGCAGACCATCCATGCTCATAATCTTTTAGATTTATTTCAAGTCCGTTCAAAGTATCCTACGTTCCAATCTGTTAGATTTATTACAAGTCCTCTTAAAGATCTTGTCTACTAATCTCTTAGATTTATTACAAGTCCTCTTAAAGATCTTGTCTACTAATCTCTTAGATTTATTTCATGTCCTTTCACAGATCTAGCCTACTAGTCTCTTAGATTTAATGTTTTCAAAAACCTTACCTCCTAACTTAAGCCCTTTAAAAAACCATACATCCTAATCTCTTAGATCCTGTGTCCTGGTCTCTCTAGAGATAGGCCAGACCTGCCAGACCGTCACACTAAGCACAAACTCCGTATTTCAAGTGACGATCCCCAGGGATCTCCATTAACATAACACTTTTCAACTAAACGGTGTGTGAATGAAATGACAGAATGCAAGACAAACCACTGAAATTTCATTTAAGTTGTGTCGAGGTTCTTACCTTCTGTGACTCTTATTACAAACTTCTCAAGTTCTTCAAACTCACAACACTAAACAACCATTGTTAATTCAGTGGAAAATTACACCAGTTTATTTTCTCTCCTACAAACATAGCATAATTAATCGGTACTTGCAAATTTCTCACTAAAGTTACATATACATCAGTGTCTGAAGACAAGAATTCCCCCACGTAGGTAATGCTTAAAATGAGTAAGTATCAGGAATGATCTTGTAAAAACGAAGGCAATCAGTGTGATTTTGCCGGCTGAGTGCCCATTGGGTTGTAAATACAGAGGCTAATACTGTATGCCTGGTGACATGACGAGAAACCTCACTCCCTTTCTGTTTTTTTTTTTTAAACATTACATAGTTATTATAAATATAATGAGAACGGAAATGGCTGTTGCAGACTTGTACAAAACGAGAGATGGAGACATAAACAGAGAGACAGAGGCGATATGTATTATGTTTTTGTTTATTCAACAGATCAAATTCATGGCACAAAGTGTAACCCACAAGTGCTCCGTTCTACTAACTAACTCAAGAATGAGTCTGAAGAATGTCAGTGCAGTGCACACACTCCTTAGCACCTGCTAGGATACTTAAATATTTTTGGGTAGATTTTTAACTCCAAATTTTGCCCGGGTAGTGCCGTTAGGCTATTCTTTTTCGATTTTCAACTGCCAAGGGATTTATTTACTTGCACAACACAATACACAAGGGCATCCAGTTTTACTACCCAGAGATCAGGGGAAATTACTAGAAGTTCACATGAAAAATTCCCAGCCTTCACCGGGGTTTGAACCTGGGACCTCCAGCACTCAGGGCGGATGCCACACCTCAAGACCAATCAGCTGTAAATCTATCTTTCAGCATGTATGTATATTAATATATATACAGAGACAGAGAGATGGAGCGGTAGGGGTGGTAAGAGAGAGAGTATACAAGTGAGTGAGTGCATGTGCCTCTTCTCTACCAGTCAGATTTGTATTGTCTGTCTCACAATCACGTGCTTATCACACATCCTTCCCATGACCACCCTGAATCAACAGAGGCATCAACATCATGTGTTGATGAATCTTGCAGTAACTAAGACAGAACTCATTTTCATGTTTTGAGCTGCTTAGGACATATGGTGCTTACCAATATATATACACACTTCCACATCAGTTAGTCAATACCAGCCAATTTCTGCCTTGACTTCCCAGAACACTCCCCTAATCTCAAAGGTTTAGCTAGCCTTAGAGCTTATGTTAGTTTTAAAGGTACATCCCAACAAGCATCTGAACACAAAACCACCAGGCTGGCCAGCAACTAGGCTATCTCATGGATTTGTTTCATTCCAACAAAAAATAACATTACATTGCACACAGACAGATATCCCGAGGGGGGATCTCAATAAAGAGAAGACAGCAGTAAATACCCCTAGGTAAAAGTCACATTAATTGCTTCTTTTGAATTCACCCTTAAAAAGGTGATTAGCACAATGTCCTGTGGTTTACAGCTAGGCTAGGATATCTGTGTCCTTTGGCAAACATATTCAATTTCAGCACAGCCCTTGCTAGTTGTCTTTTACTTTTTCTATCACTGAAACTATGACGTCAAAGCGGCTTTAAAACAGGCATCTGGTTCACAAGAATAACCCCATGAATACTATTTTTAGTAATTATATTCATACATTTACGTACTATGCTAGGTGTAATGAGGAAAGAACGACTAGGAGAGCCAGCACAGAACCAATACTGAACTATTTAGGTAGGCATAAAATCAAACTGGCCATGTATCAAGACTGGCGTCAGACAGGGCACCACAGAGAGCAATGTTATACAGACACAGAGGTATTAGAGCCAGAGGTCGACCATGCAGAAGATGGATCTCAGAAATATCCCCGACACTGAAAAGTGTATTCAGTATGACATTCATAAGTTACTCCCTGGTGAGATGCAATTTTTCGTTATTCGAAGCCCCACTATGGCTTTTGCTGTGTCCCCTAAATATAGCTGAGCCATAAATATGGCCTAGCCATATATATGGCCTAACAGCTGAAAGGTGTTTCTGGAACATCCGCATGATGGCACTTTGTGTCACTGGGTGTTTATTGCTTGTATGATGTCCTGGTGGGGTAAAGTCAGTTGAGTATGAGAAATAGTGTTTTTTTTGGGGGGTGGGGGGGGGGGAAGGGGGGGGGGGATATTTTAGAGAAAAACCACAGCAGCCAAAAAATTCTGAGGCTGGTTCTGCGACATCGTGTAAAGAATATGCAACTAACTTTTAACACTCTCCGAGGGCAGATTAACCCGGATCGCTAGGGTTGCGTTATCCTGTTGAATGTAATAAACTTTATATGAAGAGAACAAAAAGACCTGTTCCAGAGATCTCTTCCTGCCCTGACGCCAGAGGTAGAGAAAAGAAGAAAAAGTCATAGCATTAATTGGGCATTTTGTAAACACAACACTAGAAATGCCAGTCAAGTAACACTTACCAGGGACTGGACCCTACCGAAAGTGCCAGATTTTGGGGGGAGGGGGTTCACGAGGTGAAAGGGTTATACACTTGCATCACTGATACACATAACAAGAAACAGCTTCTGTAAATCTGAAACAAAGTACATCAACTAGAATAACCCATAAACAAATTGCATCACTTCAGAGGTTTCTGCCTGAACCTGATTTCTTCTTGCGACGGCTCCAGGTCATAAAGAATTCGAAGATTCTTAGCCAGGGCCTGGTTGCGGTTCTTGTGCATCTTGAGGTAATACTTCCATGATGATGGCAAGGCTTTGAAATAGGCCAGCGGATCTTCTTCCTTCTTTAGAGGAATCTAATGGGAAGATAAAAGAGATTTTGCAGTAGGACATGTTAAAGATATCGAAAGAAAAGGTAAAACATATACAGCAGCAAGATATGCTGAAGGTAGAGAAATCTAAAGAAAAGATGAAAGATATGCTGAAGGTAGAGAAATCTAAAGAAAAGATGAAAGATATGCTGAAGGTAGAGAAATCTAAAGAAAAGATGAAAGATATGCTGAAGGTAGAGAAATCTAAAGAAAAGATGAAAGATATGCTGAAGGTAGAGAAATCTGAAGAAAAGATGAAAGATATGCTGAAGGTAGAGAAATCTGAAGAAAAGATGAAAGATATGCTGAAGGTAGAGAAATCTAAAGAAAAGATGAAAGATATGCTGAAGGTAGAGAAATCTAAAGAAAAGATGAAAGATATGCTGAAGGTAGAGAAATCTAAAGAAAAGATGAAAGATACGCTGAAGGTAGAGAAATCTGAAGAAAAGATGAAAGATATGCTGAAGGTAGAGAAATCTGAAGAAAAGATGAAAGATATGCTGAAGGTAGAGAAATCTAAAGAAAAGATGAAAGATATGCTGAAGGTAGAGAAATGTAAAGAAAAGATGAAAGATATGCTGAAGAAAGGGCACAATAAATAATATGCACTGTATAAACATGTTGGAGATAGAAGAATCCAACGGAAAGATCTTCTATGTTCACCGGCTGTAAGCTCCGGTGGAAAGTTCTGGCTGTTCGTTAATTTTGAATTTGGCTCTGTGCCAGGGCGTAAGTTTTGCGTTACATCCATTTTATTGGCTTATTTGTGTGCTGTTGTTTGTTCCTTGCCACCCGCACAGATGCACTCCGACTTTGAAGGATGCTCCAAATTAGTCAACTCCTACGACATGCTTGTTGGTGAGTCAGCAGGTCTATTCTTGTTGTCCACACAATGGGGCTCCGGAACCCACACAAATGGGAAGATAAAATAGATACTGCAGTTAGATATGTTAAAGATTTTAAGGTGTTTCACAACAAAATTAAATACAATCCAATAATATAAATAAGACACTGCAGAAAGACATTTTGAAGATGAAGGAAATAAATGAAAAGATAAAAGACATTGCAAATAGAGGAATGTAACAGGAAAATAAAGAGGATATTGCAATAATAATAAGATAAATAAGACATTTCAGTAAGACATGTTGAAGATAAAGAAATTAAATGAGAAGATAAAAGTCAGTGTAGTAGGATGCTGAAAACAGAAGAACTTAATGAGAAGATAAGAGACATAGCAGTAAAATTATGAACACAGACAAATATAACAGTCTCGTTAAAGTAAGACATGTCAGAGGCAGAGAAATTTCATGAGGCTAATTCAGCTCATCTTCTAAATTTTTTAAATATTTTTTTAACTTTCTTTCTCCATACTGAAAAAAAAATCATATTATTCTCCAACTTTTCTCTTACTTACTACTGTGGATATTTAGCAAATCATACAACACAACAACCACTTTGTGATTTACTTTCCAACACAACACTAAAACCACTCCCTGACTTACTTTCCACAGACTCAACAAACCACACATCACTTCTAACAACCCTTCCCTAAGTTACTTTCCCACAAACTCAACAAACCACACATCACTCTAAACAACCCTTCCATGACTTACTTTCCCAAACTCAACAAACCAAACAAAACTACAACCATTTACAACCATTTAGTGACTTACTTTCCCACAAACTGAACAAATCACACAACACTACAACCATTTAGTGCCTTACTTTGCCTCAAACTGAGCAAACCACACAACACTACATTTAGTGACTTACTTTCCCACAAACTGACAAAAAATCACAGAACACTACAACCATTTAGTGACTTACTTTCCCACAAACTTAACAAACCACACAACACTACAACCATTCACTGACTTACTTTCCCATCTTTGTAGTACATGTTATCAAAATCAAATTCCTCCTCTTTAACCGGGTCAGGCCGAGAGAAGCCCTGATTTGGTCTGGCTACAGGGATAGGAAGGTTCTCAAATTCTGTCCGGTACTCCACCACGTTTAACTTCATCCTGTCTGCCAGTTGCTGGTGGGTTTCCTGGCATATGAAAACATACAGGATATATACATATAAGTTGGCTTTTTTTTTTTTTTTTTTGCTGGTGGTATGCAGAACCGGCACCTTATTTAGGCCCCATTTGTTTTCAGCACTACTGTAATAAATTTGGTGAGTACTGCATGTTTTTTTTTAGACACTTTGTGGTAAGCACTGCATGGTTTTTTTTAGACAATTTGTGGTGAGTACTGCATGTTTTTTTAAAAACTTTGTGGTGGGTACTGGATGTTTCTAGACACTTTGTGGTAAGTACTGCATGTTTTTAGACACACTGTAGTGAGTACTGCATGTTTTTTTGGACACTTTATGGTGTGTACTGCACATTTTGTAGACACATTAATGGTGAGCATCGTGTGTTTTTTTTCAACACTTTGTGGTAAGTAGTGACAGCTTTTTCTAAAAAAAAAAAGAAAAGCTTTGCATATAAGTTCATGTTGTAAAGTTATTTTTTTTTATGTACGACATAAACAATACATTGCACAATTAACTGCCTGGCTTATTTCGCCGTATCTCATCAAGTGCATTACTACAGAGTTAAATCAACATATAATAAAGCACAAACTGAATCCCTTTTCTTGCTGAAATGGATAAACCACACTGTGGAGTCTGTATATCTATCTGCCAGAATTTCCAAGTTCAAAACCTGACGAGATACAGTGAAATATGACATGCAATAAATTGTGCAATGCATTAATTGTGTCTGCATTATTTAATGGGGAAACCAGTCAACATCGTTTTGGATGTAAAATTATTCAATACCTACAACAGACAGTATCTTTCCAGATGATAATGTTCCTCTATCTGAAAGTCTGGGATTCAATCCGCAAGTTTTTTTTTGAGTGTTTTTATTTCAAATAAAAAAACTTTGGCTACCGTGACAACTTAGCCTAAAAAAGGTACAAGAAATGTACGGGTAGCTAAGTCGGTCAGTATAGTGTTGACCACACTGCTCATCAAGTGTCGACTCATCCATTAAAATATGGCCCAGCACAATGTGCCTAATGAATGTGACTACATGTCCCTAACTTTGATCATGCCTGGTTCAACAAATAATGCAGGCTGTAATCCGGCTGAGTCGTTAATCTGTGGGTCAAACTGCAACTTGTCAGTTATAACATGTACATGTATTATGTGCCTCCTATCCGCTCTCTGTGCCCACACAAATGAAGGGTGTCCCTTCAAAATCAACCAGCATTTTTAGTATCAATTTTAGAATAGATTTATCTAAGGGAAGAAATCAAGTTGAAAAATATAACCACAAATGGGAAAAAAACATGAAGTGCTACATAGATTATTATCTTTGTATGCATGAGATTTACAGACAATAACCAAAAAAGCTGCCCCTGCTGCCTTGCAGGGTAAGTCTCTTTAGACAAAGGCTATTGGAGTTTAAACCATATACAAACCTGCGGAAGACAAGGGGAAACCACCACTGTACTATCCCAAGAAAATCATGCCTCAAAATAATGTGTAATAAAAGTTGATGGTGTTATTTTAGGACAAGTACAGAAATTTAAGTATCTGGGCACATGGATAACATCAGATGGAAGATGCGTAACTGAGATAAGAAATAGAATAGGACAGGCAAAAACTGCATTTTATAAAATTAAAAACATCTTGTGCAATATATCCTTGTCATTGAGAGTTAGAAAAAGAATTCTTGCTTGCTACAAACATCCAGTTTTAACATATGGCTGTGAATCCTGGACAATCGGTAGGCAGGCCAAACAATTTATGGAAGCCTCAGAGATGTGTTTTTACAGAAGAATGCTTAGAATACCTTGGACAGCCAAAATGAGCAGCCAAGAGGTTTTGAAAGAGGCGGGAGCTAGAAGACAACTTATCACATACATCAGAAGGAGACAGTCATAATTTTTCAGCCATGTTATGAGAAGAGGGAAAATAGAACATGTTGTGACCACTGGAAAGATATGTGGAAGGAAAGATGGAGGAAGACAATGAGAGAAGATGCTTGACAGTCTTGTTGCATGGCATGGAGGTGTGTCGGCACACGAACTGATACATGCTGCAGGAGATTGCAGATTATGGAGAGGCATGATCACCCACGCCAGTCGGCAAGGCACCTGATGATGATGATGATGAACCAGAAAAGCAGAAAAACATGTGAGAAGAGTAGAGAAACCAGACGTTAGAAAGTCAAAATATTTTATGCGTACAAATTATGAGGATTTAAAAAAAAAAAAATGACAAGTGGCACACTTTATAAGAAAAGGGCAGTGAAAGACAAAGAGATAACTTGCATAGCTTGGCCACACAGTGTAAGTGAGACCAGAACAGCCCAAACACATGTCCTGGAAATGTCCAAATCCAAAGGATGCTAACTACTGAAGTAATGCTTTCCACTTTGCATGGAGTACACCTGTCTCTGCCTTTCTTAGCATGACGATGGAGGTGATGGCAGTGACGCAAGCGTTTGCCTGGCTTGAAACACAAAAATACACCCGCATATGTATACTCAATGATTCAATGAGTATTATCCGGAGGGTTCAGGCAGGTTCAGTGCGAAGACAATGGCTTGAATCAATTCAGAAGTCCGCTGTGCGAGAAGTCACCTTTATTTTTGTTCCGGGATACGCAGGCGTCGATGGAAATGAAAGAGCTGATAGGTTGGCTGGATCCGCTATCACTACCGACGGTAGGCCTATGGATCATGCTGATATTATCAATGCCCTCAGAGAAATGGGAAGGATAGAGGACTTTGGTGGCAGTGAATCCATATCACTCGCCAGAATGGCGGACTCGGGAATTAAGATCGGCACAGCAAAAAACGAGACGCACACCAGACACGTCAGAAGACTTGTCAATCAACATAGAACTGGTACTATTAGCCATCGGACGTTGGGGTTCATACTGAGGGGAGGATCTGAGCACCTATGGACATGTCCGGAGTGCAATGATGATAACCCAACTAACTAACTAATTTCTTAGCATGCTTCATGAGTCTGTTACAATCAAGACATGTGTGCACTAGCTCTTAAGCCAGTGGGTAGATGATGCTGCTGCCTCTACCTCCATTCTCAAGCTGTAGTATCACATAAGTAAAGTAGAGATCCCTTTTCACGCCTTTAGGTGTAACGGGTATATGGGAAGAAGGTCCATATTTTTACAGACCGCCAGCACTAGGCATTACGCCGGCCGTCTTTACTTTTCCAGGACAGCCATCCTGGTACCCATTTTAGGCTGGGTCGGCCTACGACGCCCCATTCCATGATAAAAATCCACACAGCCAACAGTGGGTTTCGATCGCGGTACGTTGGAATTACAAGTCAGACTCGCAACGCCTAAGCCACGGACGCTGCGTAGTATCACATGCCAGGATTTTGTAAACTAAGGGTGTTATCAGCTTTGTATTTTACCCAGAGTCATCAAGCCAGATGACCTGGTCATGTGACAAACTACTCACAAACAGCCGACTACTCACAAACAGCCGACTACTCACAAACTTCCACAAACATTTAACATTTACACTTAGTATAGCCAGAAAGAGGCACATGCACTCAAAGGCTGTAAACTCCAGCAACAAGTTATGGTTATCCACATATGTCTGGACTATGGTCCTGGTTCCAGAGCCTGAGTTTTGTGTGCACATCTGTTTTACAAATCTGGCTTACTTGTATGCAGACTGCTAATTCCTCACCTCTCCGGCAGATGTACTCTGTCTTTTAAGGACACTCTCCTAATTTGTCGCCGTGTACGACATGCTTGTTCAGGAGGCAGTGGGTCTATCCTCCACCCCAACCCTTTAAATGAGGTCCAGAAACCCACAGGGGGAACCTAACAGATTAAAACAAAAACAAAATGGTCTCTTGAAAGGAACTGACTCACAGAGGGACAGCCGATTACCTGCATCTTAAGGAAACTCCACTCTTTGTTCGACATGTCACCAGAAGAAAAAAGCTGATGTACATCATGTCATGACAGCAAATATTTTAAAAAGATAAAAGATTTTTCCGAGGAAACCACTTTAAAAAAAAACCTGATAAATGGTTTCCTCAGAAAAATCCATTTACCAGCTGCTTTTTGTGTGTGGAAAAATAAGTAGCATATCCGTATCTAACCACCTACCTGTTCCGCCAGACCTTTGAAGAGCGCCTGGGTCATCTTTAAGATATTTTTCGTTCGCCCTTCTGTCTTAATAAAGATATCCTCGATACCGATGATCTGACAAATGGTTTTATGAATTCGGTGGCACTCCAAACCATGACCTTTTGGCATTCTTTTAACAAAAATTGACGTTTTGTGTTCTTTGACTGCAAAGTCGTGGAAAACTGCAAGAGAATAGAACATCATCTTTATGGAAAACTGTCAATACATGGTTAATGATTAGGATGAAAAAAAAAGACAAGTGAAATATAAGATAAGAGATGAGAATGACATAAAAGACAAGTCTGCAGGATGAGAATCACACAGAAGACGTCTGCAGAATGAGAGTGACACAGAAGACAAACATGCAAGATGAGAATGATCGTGTAAATGACATAGAAAGGAGAAAATGACATAATGAAGACTGAAAAGAAAAGAATAACTTTACTGGAAACTGCAAGAAGAGAATGAGAAAGAATAATGGAGTTTGCAAGAAGATCACACCACATTATTGGAAATTAGAAGAGATGAATTATAGTAATGGAAGTTGCAAGGTTAGGTAAAGATGGCCACGTTGACAAGATAATACCTGCTTTAAATAACATTTCTTCTAATATATACACTGACAAACTACAGGATATAATTGAAATAATGTTTCCTCAAGCATACACATGGATAAGACAACTACAAGACACGACTAAATTAATATTTCTTTAAGCCTACATATGGACACAGCAACTACAAGATATGACTGAATATTTCCCCAAGTATATACATGGACAAACTACAAGATATGACTGAATATTTCCCCAAGTATATACATGGACAAACTACAAGACATGACTGAATATTTCCCCAAGTATATACATGGACAAACTACAAGATATGACTGAATATTTCCCCAAGTATATATATACATGGACAAACTACAAGATATGACTGAATATTTCCCCAAGTATATACATGGACAAACTACAAGATATGACTGAATATTTCCCCAAGTATATACATGGACAAACTACAAGACATGACTGAATATTTCCCCAAGCATATACATGGACAAACTACAAGACATGACTGAATATTTCCCCAAGCATATACATGGACAAACTACAAGATATGACTGAATATTTCCCCAAGCATATACATGGACAAACTACAAGATATGACTGAATATTTCCCCAAGCATATACATAGACAAACTACAAGATATGACTGAATATTTCCCCAAGCATATACATAGAAAAACTACAAGATATGACTGGAGTAACATTTAACTGACCTGTGTGATCATTATACCTCTCAAAGTACTGCAGTCTCTGGGCTGCCCTGTTTTTTGCCTATAGAAATATACAGCCATTATAAGCAGGTCTGTTGGTACACTTCCAGGTTTAATCAAGAATGCAATGAGAAGTAAGAAGGGACAACAGGAGTACCTACGCCTGAATTCGCGTTACACACAAAAGATAAAAAGAAAGAGTTTTAAAATGGCAACACAAACACCTGTTTGTTTTGTTTTGTTTGACTGGGCTGAAGATATTGTAAAGCAAACAATGATTGCAGCAGTCTTCTACAAACACATGTTTGTTTGTTTTTATTTGACTGCAGCAGTCTTCTACAAACACCTGTTTGTTTGTTTTGTTTGACTGGGCTGAAGATATTGGAAAGCAAACAATGACTGCAGCAGTCTTCTACAAACACCTGGTTGTTTGTTTTGTTTGACTGGGCTGAAGATATTGTAAAGCAAACAATGACTGCAGCAGTCTTCTACAAACACTTGTTTGTTTGTTTTGTTTGACTGGGCTGAAGATATTGTAAAGCAAACAATGATTGCAGCAGTCTTCTACAAACACCTGGTTGTTTGTTTTGTTTGACTGGGCTGAAGATATTGTAAAGCAAACAATGTCTGCAGCAGTCTTCTACAAACACCTGGTTGTTTGTTTTGTTTGACTGCACTAGCCAGCCGTAAACTCTGGCGGAAGGTCCTGGTTGTTTATCCGTTTCTGGACTCTGGCTTTGTTCCAGGACCTGAGTTTTGTGTTGTGTGTGAATCTGTTTTACAGATCTGGCTTATTTATATGCAGACTAATGATTCTCTGCCTCTTAGGCAGATGTACTCCAACTTTGAAGGAATCACCCCTAATTAGTTAACTTTTATGTTTGTCAAGGGGACAGTAGGTCAATTTTTTTCCTGATGTTTCATGTGTCTATGTATTATTTGATTATGTATATTTTTATATAACATGAATTATTAATAACATGAAGTTGTGGTCTGAAAGATGAGTGCTTGGAAGAGCCGAATGTAGGATGGGCCTGTGTGCCCGAATTGTAACCCTTTGACAATAAAGACAGTGTGTCAATTCTTTTTCCTGATATTTTATGTGTGTGTATGTATTATTTGATTATGTATATTTGTATATAATATAACATGCATTATTGATAACATGCAGTTATGGTCTGAAAGATGAGTGCTTGTAAGAGCTGACTGTAGGACAGGCATGTGTGCCCAAATTGTAACCTTTTGACAATAAAGTTTGTAAGTCCCTCCCTGAAAAAAGGGAGACCCTGGAATCCATAAGGGGAAAACACAGAGAATCCAGGCCCGGTTTGTAATCAATCCTTGCCTTGGTGTAGCCTCAAACACACGCCCTGTAGACCTACAAACACTTAGAGTCACCAACTGAAGAAAAAAAAAGATGGCCAATCACAGAGATGGATATTTGCAGCAATGAACCTCAAGAGCTCAGAGTGCTGAGCAAGAAGGAGGAGGAGGAGGAGAAGAAGAATGTCAAACATCAGCAAGGTAAGTAAATCCTTTAACACGTCACAGACTGCTGAATTCATCATTCTGTTGTGCCATTATGTGTCACATAGGGTTCACAGTCTATTCTGCTACATCCTTTGCAATCAGTTTAATATCATGAATGGAATCCAATCTAGCAGCTTTGGCCTCTCTCATCAATGTTCATCTTAGGGTATCTTTTGGGCATCCACGCTTAATTATCCCTTTATTTCCCTATTTATGCCTGTTTGGTGATTCTCTGCTGGTGTCAAGATGTGTCCAATGTAGCACCATCTTCTCTGTCTTATAAGTGTTGATACTAGTGATTGGTTGCTCAGACATTTCTCCCAATTTTTCACTGCTTACTAATTGCCCTATTATTTTTTTTTTAAATCTCTGAAAAAATAAACAAACAAAATAAAAGAAACACATCAAATGTGACCAACCTTTCGCAGGGCTGTTTTTCCTCCTGGTGCACTAGCAACAGCATAGCCTAAAACAGAGGGGACAACTACTGTTACAGTTTTTACCATTCAAAAAAAAAAAAGTATTGCACAAACAGTTGAATGTTTCTAATCCAATATGAGCCCTTTCTAGTGTGGCTCTTGAACTATATCCTGTAGTTTTTTCATGAGTATGCATGAAGAAATATTTTAATCATGTCTTGTCCACATATAAGATGGAAGGAATATAATTTTATTCATGTCTTGTCCACATATAAGATTGAAGGAATATAATTTTATTCATGTCTTGTCCACATGAAAGATTGAAGAAATATTTTATTCGTCTTGTCCACATAAAAGATTGAAAAAATATCATGTTAATCAGGTCTTGTCCACATGAAAGATTGAAGAAATATCATTTTATTCATGTCTTGTCCACATGAAAGATTAAAGAAATATCATTTTAATCATGTCTTGTCCACATGAAAGATTGAAGAAATATCATTTTAATCATGTCTTGTCGACATGAAAGATTGAAGAAATATCATGTTAATCATGTCTTGTCCACATGAAAGATTGAAGAAATATGTTAATCATGTCTTGTCCACATGAAAGATTGAAGAAATATGTTAATCATGTCTTGTCCACATAAAAGATTGAAGAAATATCATGTTAATCATGTCTTGTCCACATGAAAGATTGAAGAAATATGTTAATCATGTCTTGTCCACATGAAAGATTGAAGAAATATCATGTTAATCATGTCTTGTCCACATGAAAGATTGAAGAAATATCATTTCACCCTTGTCTTGTAGCAGGTCCTTTCCAGAGCAACATTCATTACACCCTGGCTGAAATAAACTAGGTCTGTAGCCATATATAAAACAAATTAGGTAATGAGAACTTGAAAATCACGTGGTAAAGCTCTTTAAGTTCTCTTAAATTTAAGTCATTACCCCCTCCCCTCTTCCACCGATTACTGCTCTCTCCCTCTTTGAAGGATTTGAAAATCACTACCTGGCGATATTTTGTTGTTGCTGTAACTGACATTGACATCCCTGTCCATCCGGACTAAAATGGGGAGCAGGAATTGTAATAGGTAGTGAATGGGGCTAGTGTAATATTTACCACATAATCCTTCAAGTAACAGTACAACTACTACCACGACCACCACCACAGTAGCTAAAATAATGTCACTGCTATCTGTGTTACCATCGGAGTAGACAGAGAGTCGTGAGCCAGAAGATTTGGTTCCGCATGGCTAGTGCTGTCGCCACAGACTGGTCAGGTTAGGATGTATAATTTCACTTCCCGACAGAAGAACGCCATAACCTTACCGGCGGTCTTCACATGAGAGCACTATGGTGTAACAGCCCAACCACAATTATTACTGCTGCTGCTACTTTAAGTGGGTAAAGCAGTTACTGTGACTTAAAGTATCTCACTTAATAGTTTGCCCCCCCCCCCCCCAAACTCACCGACAACTCTTTACCTCATTGAAGTAGTTGCGAGAAAAAAAAAAAAACTTGAAAAGCAAATGAACACAGAAAAAAAACAACACCATAATTAGGAAATGAACGCCATGGTAAATAGCACAGCTTAAAATTCCAACGCAGATGAAATAAACTAAATCTAAATGAAGATAAATGGAAATCTATGAAATTTCAGCGTAACCATGCAATCGGAAAGTTTAAAAAATGCAATCATAAGTATGCGAAATGGTCAAATTTAATTATCAAATGGTTTACCCATTTACTTGTCTTTTCTTTTTTAAAGTATTAAGGCAACATGGCTAGTGCTGTCACCACGACAGAGCAGATGAGGATATTATTTTAGTCCAGGGTTTAAAAAAAAAATTAACTACTGCGGATTCGAACCCTGGTCTCCCGCACAGGAACCCAGTGTTCTAACCATTCGACCAAGCAGCCACTTAATCGGATCAACGAAAAGAGAACTTAACTATTAGAGATGTGTGTCCCTACTACTGTGTCCCGATTATAACACAACTCAAAACCACAGGCAATTGTTTTCTCGTATACAGATACTCCAGATATATTAATGAAACGGCACAACAATAGAAATCGCACATGTCTAACAAGGTTAATGAAGTTAATGTCGCAGTCAAGGTCTGCGCCGATGTCGAGATAGTCCTTGATGCCCCCCCCCCCCCCCCACCCCCAATCGAAGGTTGTTTGAAAAAAAAAACAGAAAATAGAAATCGTGTTTAATATGGTTATTGTGGCAAAAATAGAGATAGTCTTGTTTGCTGTACCACGACCTACTCTATGTATTAGAGAAGGCGTTGGCTGCACGTAACTTGCGTTCTGACTACGGCGCATGCGCAATTACTAACGTGGCTATAATTAGAAATCACTAAAATTATAAATATTAGTTTCAAATATAATGGCTTAAATTGTGGTCACCTATCTCTAACAGTGACAGGTTGAATTTCAAACCATGATGGTTCAACATCCGGTATCAAAACAAACATATCCTGAAAATTTCAGCTAAATCGGTTCAGTAGTTTCCGAGTCTATAAGGGGCAAACAAACACACAAACATTGATTTTTATATATATAGATAACTACTAAACTGGGTTTAAATCCTTTGGCTATTCCACATCAAAATAAAATGAACACATAAACATAAAGCATACACGAAGAAGATAGTGTGCACATGCTGAGGGAGGTATGCTGCGAATGGTGAGAGAAATAAAGTACACATGTAAAATATGGTGTATCTGTTAAGGTAAGGTACACATATTGAGAAAGGTATGAAGTGCATAGTTAAGTGTGGTGTACCTGTTGAGGTAAGATATACATGTTGAGAGATGTAGGGACTGCATGATAAAGTAAGGTGTATCTGTTGAGGTAAGATATACATGTTGAGAGATGTAGGGAACTGCATGATAAAGTAAGGTGTATCTGTTGAGGTAAGATATACATGTTGAGAGATGTAGGGACTGCATGATAAACTAAGGTGTATCTGTTGAGGTAAGATATACATGTTGAGAGATGTAGGGACTGCATGATAAACTAAGGAGTATCTGTTGAGGTAAGATATACATGTTGAGAGATGTAGGAACTGCATGATAAAGTAAGGTGTATCTGTTGAGGTAAGATATACATGTTGAGAGATGTAGGGACTGCATGATAAAGTAAGGTGTATCTGTTAAGGTAAGATATACATGTTGAGAGATGTAGGGACTGCATGATAAAGTAAGGTGTATCTGTTGAGGTAAGATATACATGTTGAGAGATGTAGGGACTGCATGATAAACTAAGGTGTATCTGTTGAGGTAAGATATACATGTTTAGAGATGTAGGGACTGCATGATAAAGTAAGGTGTATCTGTTAAAGTAAGATATACATGTTGAGAGATGTAGGGACTGCATGATAAAGTAAGGTGTATCTGTTGAGGCAAGGTACACATATTGAGAGCGGTATGGAGTGCATGCCAGAGTACTGTGCATGTTTATGCTGCACATATTAAGGCAGACATGCTGCACATATTGAGGGAAGTACGGTGCACATATTGAGGGAAGTACGGTGCACATACTGAGGGAAGTACGGTGCACATATTGAGGGAAGTACGGTGCACATATTGAGGGAAGTACGGTGCACATACTGAGGGAAGTACGGTGCACATATTGAGGGAGGTACTATGCAACAGTAACTGGTGACCCGATGACATGCAGTATGTGATAGGATGTTGGTAATGCTGCACCTGAGTTGTGTGTTTTTTTTTTTGGGGGGGGGGGGGGGGGGGGGGGGGGGTGGGGGGGGGGGGGGGGGGGGGGTATGTGTACATGTTAACTGTATCTGAATCCACCTACTACTCTACATCAAAGTATTGACAAATATTTTTTTATTTTTACTACGCCTGAAAACAGCTGATTAAAAAGCAACAATAAAAAACAGACCAAGATGTCCTACCTGCTAAACCTTTCCCATTTCCGGTGACAACAATTGTGCTTATGCTTTGTTTTCTGCCCAGGTTGCCAGTCATGTGTGACACCATTTTGTACTGGAGACAGCAGAAATGTGTTTGAATAAACATAAATTTTCTCAAATTACAGACATCTTCATCATCAACAAGTGCCTTATACCAACTGGTGTGGATGATCATGCCTCTCCACAGCTTGTAATTCTGTATCAAAACTTATACATTTCCATCTATATGTCTTTTTGTGTGAACATTGTTCCCCTTCCCTTAAGCTTTTCAATCACATTTCCTTGGATTATCTCTCGGTATCAGCCTGGCAGCACTATTTTGACACATTATGAGGATAAGCAGATAAAGGATCCCCAAACAGGCAATGAAATGGAAAACTACAGAAAAGAGGAGGTTCCACAAAAGGGGAACAGGTTAACTCTTTGAGGCCAAAGAAACGATGTGTGTGTGTTGACTGAGAAGTTCCAACTTGACGACACAATGATAATCAAAATTTAAACTTTACAGAAAGTCCCACACATACTGATTCGCATACAGCTCCGTATTTGCCCCTAATGTTCGGTATAACCACTAAAGTTAAGGGACGGTTACTCTTAATGTTTTTCTTTGTATACAAGTCTAAGTTTTTGTTTGCACATTGATCAGATTCATTGCTAGCGCCATTTTCACGCAGTGCATTTTTTTTTGTATATTTCCTGTTGCACTGACCGTGGATACCAATGTTCAGAACACAAGCACGTGCCGAAAATGTGCCTAGAGCATGAAATTATTTCAGTCAGATGTTTTCTAACTGTGATAATGAAAATTTAAATTGTGTGAAAAGTGATTCGGGCAGCGAATTTACACCAGCGGCAGCTGTTTGTTCTGATGATGTATAAACTCAGAAGAACCCAGTTACATTTGAGACGGATGTGACAGCCACAGCCCCCCCCCCCCCTTCCCCCCCCCCCACCCCCCCCCCCCCCCCCCCCCCCCCCCCCCCCCCCCCCCCCCCCCCCCCCCCCCCCCCCCCCCCCCCCCCCCCCCCCCCCCCCCCCCCCCACCCCCCACCCCCCCCCCCCCCCCCCCCCCCCCCCCCCCCCCCCCCCCCCCCCCCCCCCCCCCCCCCCCCCCCCCCCCCCCCCCCACCCCCCCCCCCCCCCTCCACCCCCCCACCCCCCACCCCCCCCCCCCCCCCCCCCCCCCACCCCCCCCCCACCCCCCCACCCCCAGTGCATCCAAAGGACTGTTTCAGACAGTACCATAATCATACTGTGGCTAAGCTGCATTTAAATCATTGCAGCTACAGTCTGTATAACTGTACCTAAAAAATATTTTGTGTGTCCAATTTTATGCCATTTGTTCTTTGAAATTTAGCTCTGCATTTTATGAGCCAAGTCTCTGAGTAATAAAATGACACAGAAACATATTATAACTTTTTAATTTGCTAGGAAACTGAACAAACTTCAAAGAGTTATTCTCAAATTTGGATATCCACTGCTCTTGTGGCTGCAAACCATGGTAAGTGAAGATTGGGGTGGGGGGGGGGGGGGGGGGGGGGGGGGGGGGGGGGGGGGGTAGATAATGGTTAAAACATAATACTGGCTGAATTATAACAGTATGAAACAAAAATATAAGAATCAATATGAACATTCTTCCTCTTTAAAAAAATATACTTTTGTAGGGATTAGAAATATATTACATTCCCAAAATGCACTTTTTTTAATGCACCACCCCCTCTGCCATTTTTGTAGAAAGAAATTAATGTGAGCCAAGTTTGTCAAAATGCATTGGCTTGAAAGAGTTAAAAGACCAAAAATGTTGGGCTGGATTCCATCCACAGTACTGAAAGGTTTGCACAGGTTCGAACAGAAGGGAGGGTTAGACTGGGAGTCCTGTGTGACGAGTAACAACATGACAGGGTGACGAGTAACAACATGACAGGGTGACGAGTAACAACATGACAGGGTGACAAGTAACAACATGACAGGGTGACAAGTAACAACATGACAGGGTGACGAGTAACAACATGACAGGGTGACAAGTAACAACATGACAGGGTGGCGGTTGTGATATGTCTAATTCCATGCATGTCTGTTAGGCTTAAACATAATCTGGCTGATATTAAAAGACCTGTCTGCAAACGTAAAGCCCCCCATTACCATTCTATCACATCCCGATAGTTTCTGAACTTGGAGAAGGCATAAAAAGCTCTGCAATAAAATCCCTGTGGAGATGGCACTTCAGTACTAGGTCTAGGAGAAATGTCTTTTCATTGTCTTCTTCTAGTAGATACAAACCTTTTTTTATTGGTTGGGTCAACCTGTTGTATTCTACAGTTAAAATTCAGCCTCCTTCAAAGTTGAAGGAGTGCATCAACCTGAGAGGCAAGGAACCAATGGACCATAAAAAATAATCCAGATCTGTAAAATTGATGTGCAAATAACACTTAAGCCTTGGAATAAAACCAAAGTCCAGAACTGGATGAACAACAAGGACTATGTGCCACTTTATCACTAATAAATGCTCCCCAGATGATTCACATGCAACCAACATCAGATACAACATGAACACTTCAATGCTCAGGTTGTGCAGCAAATAAACAAGAAGGAAAACAGCCACCGCAAAAGAGTAGAATACACATTTTTCAATAACAACACACACAAAAACTCCTGGAATGCCAGTTTTTTTTTTAATGCTCTGGCCAAATGTAAGGAGTACGACAGCGCATTATATGATGGCTGGGATTCACAGTGAAAAGCATACTGCACATCACATGTTGTTTTGGATAGACAGGATTACATGCATTCCTAAGATAAAAAGGCACTACATACGTCCAATACTCTTGTGTCAAACCCTTCAAATACATCTGAAACAAGAAGAAGAAGATAGATATTAAACACAGACATATCTAAAATGCCTCAAAGACAACAAAGAGGAGATATTATCATACCCAAAGCCTCAAGCAAAATCCTATACAATAAAGATACATGGGTACCTCAGTATACATACTTAACCTGTTTCTGATCCTTGGACATATATCAAACAGTATGTACACCAAACACATTTTCTAGCGACTACAGTTTCGGAAATTTGCAATCTTTTTGGCAATTTCCGTTACCATGGAAACCGTTTGAAACTTGTTTCGGAAATGTCGGCTAGGGTTTCGGGATGGGTCCTAATCTCTTATGAAATTTTGCGATTGGTGTGATTTTCACCCACTATAAATAGCTGAAAACGGCGGGAAGGAACCCGATTAACAGCGCATGTCTACGACAGCCGGACGTCCTCTGTTTTTCTGTTACATCAGTTTGATTGAAAATAGTGATAAGTATTCAGGGTTGGCTTTAGGCTTTACCTGTTACTAGACATGGTAATGCTAGTTATAATTGAATTCTCCGTCCAATTTTACATTTGTATATAAAATTTCTTTCTTGTCAGTGGCTAGGTAGATGTACAGTGACATTTTTCAGGCAATCGCTGGCTCAGCCAGTGGCTGTGTCTCATTGCCTGCCATCTTGTCCAATGACAGTCTAATGTAAAACGATAAGTGCGCAGTTTGGTTGCGCAGAGAAAACTTCTTGTTTCTGGGTCACAAGTTTTAGCAGCTGCTTTCTACATCTTATCTCCACAAAAACCTACATATCTCAGCTCAGAAATGACACACAAGCCTAAATGAGGTACCGTTGGAAAGAGATTGTTTACAGCTATCTAACTGTGCTGGTTTTATTGGTGTAGTGGGCATTTTAAAAATTTGACTAAAGTAACTACATTTTCCCATTAGAAATAAAGGGAGAATGGTTAATCGTTTCCCAGGAAAAATCCTTCTGTTATTGTCACATTATACATTGATGGTGTTGTATTAGAAAAAAAATGTACATACAGTCTGATACCAAAATGTGACGCTATCTGGTCATTCTAAATAATGCTACTGCCGCTTGTTTGGGCGATACTTCTCTGCAAGGTCATCATCTAACTGTGGCATGCTCTCGATAGAGGTCAACAAAAAACAGTGCGCACGGCCATGCCTTTACCTCCCGGAACTGCACCTGGTATTCATTAAAGACCGGGTTGACCTGGTAATCGAGGTCATTTTGGACCCAAAAAAAGTCTGGCTCCGTCTCAGGGGCTGAACCCATGACCTTCGGATCAGCAGATAAGAGTCTGGCCTCTACAACATGGCGGCTCCCATAAATACAGTCTCAACATTATTCACAACAAAATGATGATACTCACATACACATAGCCTCAAACATCATCATACACTATACCTTGCAATTATTTGTTAATTAGACCATTGCAGAAGATGAAACCTTTTTCTTTGTTCTAGCCATTAACATGCACACTCTTCATTATGTACACAGAGAGAATGATGACTTATGGGTCGGATAGGAGTTCACCTAAAAAAACAAAAACAGTTGTCCAATATCTCTTTCTGCTTAATGTATCTTCCATGTTCTCTTCTTTATTCTTTGCATTCACCCTCTGTAAACTCCAGCATAAAGTTCTGGTTGATCGTCTACTTCTGGACTTTAGTCTTCTCCCAGACCTTGAGTTTTGCATGCATATCAGTTTTACACACCTTGCTTACTTAATTGCAGACTGTTGGTTCCTTGCTCTAAAGCAGATGCACTTTGACAGGAACCCCTAATTAGTCAGCTCATTTGACATGCTTCTTAAGGAGGTCATATATGAAGGCATGTTCAGCTTGCCCATTGGTCTTGTCTTCAACAGCACCATATGTCACTTAGTTATGATGCACAATCAGTGTAACAATATCTGACCATTAAAAAAATCCACTGATTCACTTACAGTCATTGATAGGATCCGGGGGTCCAATGCTAGTGCCTGGGTACTTTCTCCCACTGTAACCCCTCTGAAACAATGAGAAAGTATTACAGACTGCTATTTATGTCAATTCCTGTCTGTGTGTACTATTTCTTATGGCAATGAGTGTGTGGGGGATGGGGGAGGGGGGGGGGAGAAGGGGGGAATGACCGAGCCTGAGGATCTAAGACTGCATGGCTAGTGGAGTGGCCACAAACTGCAGGTTAGGATTTTTTTTATTGCCCTTGACATAGGAAAAAATATCCGTCAGCTTATTTAAAATTATACTCGGATTTCCCACATGAGTCCATGAGTTTTATTATTTGGCCACCAGCCACTCATTATTTATTTCTCAAACGTGTGTGAATCTATACCATTGCCGGTCCAAAACCTGGAAGAGAAAGGAGGAGGATTGGGTGTAGGGCTAGCTCTCCCACCTTGTAATCTTGCCTCTTGCTACAGAAACTTGCAAGAGATGATGTCTTCACTTCCTCTTTTTTTTTGTCTGCTTTGGGTTCTGCTCCTTGCTCTTCTGGCCACCTTGACCATAGATACATCATGCTGTTGTAGAGTGTCTCTGATGTTATCTTTCCATATTGTTCTTGGTCTACCTCACGCTCTTCGTCCATCTCCTTTTGTGGTGTTCGCCTTGTATGGTATGGTGTCACAGGGCATTCTCTTTAAATGCCGAACCATTCCTTCGTTTGTGTTTATCCGAAGATGTAACTGTGTTGTGCCCATTTACAGCATGGCTGTGATATTTGATCCTTTAAGGTAAAACATCCAACTTCTGCAGGCATTTGTTGATCTGGTTAGGCCTCCAACTATGACATTAGCTATAATGTACAGAAATGAAAGAGTGGCAACTATGACATTAGCCATAATCTGCAGAAATGACAGAGTAACAACTATGATATAAGCCATAATTTGCAAAAAATGATAGTGGCAACTATGACATTAGCTATAATCTGCAGAAATGAAAGGGTGGCAACTATGACATTAGCCATAATTTGCAGAAATCTAGAGTGCATTAGCCATAATTTGCAGAAATCTAGAGTGCATTAGCCATAATTTGCAGAAATCTAGAGTGCATTAGCCATAATTTGCAGAAATCTAGAGTGCATTAGCCATAATTTGTAGAAATCTAGAGTGCATTAGCCATAATTTGCAGAAATCTAGAGTGCATTAGCCATAATTTGTAGAAATCTAGAGAGCATTAGCCATAATTTGCAGAAATCTAGAGTGCATTAGCCATAATTTGCAGAAATCTAGAGTGCATTAGCCATAATTTGCAGAAATCTAGAGTGCATTAGCCATAATTTGCAATCTTTATAGGTCTCCAACCCTGGCCTGTAGAAGACCAAGAGAATGTATCATGATAACAGGACTAAAGATAACATCTTACCAATAACTAGGATGCTAAGAGGAAGAGGAAGAAAAGAGGACTTTAAAGAAAATGTACGACCATTTGTCAGGAATGATGAAACAAATGAACAGCATTACACAAACATGGATGGTGCACTAGAGGAAGATGTAAAATCAAAGTATTTATTAGTACTAGATCATTTTATGACCTTGCACTGTGACATACAGGACAAAAGATATACAGAAAGATAGAAGGATGCCTGAAAAAACACACACAAAATTGAGGGGGGGGGGGGGGGGGGGGAAGAAGATACAACAGTTAAATGACATAGGTAAAGTATAGATGAGTAGCAGAAGATGCAAAAGATGGTATGGCCTAGTATGAGTTAGCGAGGGCCTGTGAAGATAAAGAGCAGAAGGATAAGATAGATAAGAAGAAGTGAAGCAGAAAGAGGAATCAACAGAAGGAGGAGGAGGTCTTTACTTGCAAGGCTGGTATCTTTGGAAATTTCCTTCTCAACTGTGGTTGCTCCACAGCTGCTTCTTCTCTAGTCTCTGACTTATGTATAGAAACAGTTTTTATTCCCACAAGTGCAGGACCATCCAAGCCAGGAAACACAAGTCCAGATTTACCTTAAAAAAAACAGTCATGTCAACAAACAATGCAGTTTTCAACAAGAAAATCAGGATATTAATTGTGAACTTACTGTGATGACACATATGTTTACATAAAACTGACCTATATACATCATCATCATGTAGCAGGTCCTTTGCAGAATGTCGCTCTCATCGCGGTCTGCCTAAATAAACCTTGGTCTCTTGCCAGCTCTCCCGCCTCATGCATTTTCATTATCAAGGAGTCGCTTATATCCTGTGCCCATCTTCGTGTCGGTCGGCCCCTGCCCCTCCTTCCTGGTACCATGCCTTCTGCTATAGTTTTTTCCAATCCGTTGTGGCGCTTGATATGACCAAAATATTTCAGCTTCTGAGACAGGATGCTGTTTATTAGCCAATCTTCCTTGATGTTCAGATCTTTCAAGATGTCAGTATTTCACCTCTTTTTCTCCAAGATTTTCTGAGAATCTATAGCATTTCAGCTCAAAAGCCCCTATTCTCTTTCTTAAGGACTGGGAGATAATCCACGACTCACATCCATATGTTGCTACAGGAAAGATGCATGCTCTCAAAATTCTAACTTTGATCTCCTTGTTAAAAAAAAAAAAATTAATATACAAGTCAACTGAAATTGTAACTAATTATCTGCACTCCCTTCGGGTCATGTCAAGTCATAACTAAAGATACTCAATGTTTGGCCATACACGGGGCCGGCTATAAGACTTGACCCTGACTGTGAAGAAAAGGCTACAGAGAACTCAAAAATTCATTCTAGGGCCAGATGAAATGGCTCTAAGTATAAAACTCAATGACAGCCTGTGGGATCTGCTGAGGAAAGTACAGTTCATGCCAGAAATAAATGGCAAATAGGGGCTGATTTCATGTGCAGCATGAGGAGGAGAAGGTGACATCCAGGAGAGGAAGAAGACAGAAGCCAAGAAGATGAAGAGCAGACATTAGATGACAAAACATCAAGAAAAAGACAAAAGAATAAAAAGGACGATGAGCACAAAATGTCAGGAAGAAGATGTAGAAGGAAAATAACATGAACAAGAAGTCGTGTAGAAGAAAAAAAGAAGAAAGAGATAGATGCACAAGAAGTGTCTCCAGATTTAATGGTCTGATACCATTTATTATTGACAGCGGCCAAATCTAAATTTATATGTCAAATGATGAGCTGAAAAACAGCAGACACATCGCAACATTTAAGCAAATAAAGCTTGGTACATTCTATTATACCGTACGCATACCTTTGCCAATAACCTGGCTTCTATTGAGGTTGACCTTTTTCTTTATACTGCGACCACGACCTCGCTTCCTTCCAGGATTACTGACACTGGTCACACCTTCCCACAGTTCATCTGCCGTCACTGAAAGAAGACGCAAACATTAATTATTCAGCTGCAATGATACACATTAAAAATGTAATGTCCCTAACAAATTGTTTCATGAGAATAACCATTACCAGCAAGTGTCTTGTCAACTGGCATAGGTAATTATGGCTCTCAGATTGCTAAAAGTGGTGAAATCCACACCGACATCTTTCTATGCCTTTAAAAAAGGTTATCGAGGCCCCCCCCCCCCCCCCCCCCAACTGCCTTTATGCATCTTTCCCACTTTAACCTCATAATATAGCGAAAAACTGATGACTGCCATTTGCCTTGTCTATACAGAATCACAGCCATATATTTAAAACTGGTTCTTTTGGTAAATATTCTTCCTTTAAAACATTTAGCAAATAAATTTGTATAATACTAATAAATCAAAGAAAATTAAATCTATTACCAAACTCTGAATACTTAATTTCAATCTAAAATTGTTACGGTTGTACACAGGCAAACCATGGAGGTAACTGATTTAAACAATTATGAATGTACTACAAACATTCACTAACATGTGCTTGTGTAGAATAAATGGAATTCAACCCCAAGTGGGTTCTGCAAGCTACATTTTTTTTTGGGTGGGGGTGGGGGAGGGAGAGAACAGGTCGACTGCTCCTCTAACAAGCATATCATAAAAGGCTACAAATTAGGGTATGCTAAAAGCAGATGTTTTGGACCAAAAGGCACAGATATCACAGCACAAGACAACACACCAAGTGCCCTTATATGGGTGAACACAGAAGAATAAGGACAAATAGTATAGTAATCGCCAAAGTGAAGCTGCTCCTGATCATAATAAAACTAGAATGTCCTTGCAATGAGATCCATGGGGACCCAAAGAAATAAAAGAAGGCACCCCCCCCCCCCCCCTCTCCTTCATTTTGTGGAGAAAAGAAACACAGAACAGTGAAAAGATGGGAAGAACTACATGCAATGTCAAAGAATATGATGTCTTTACATAAGCATGTGCTGCTTGAGGAGATCCACACAAAAAAAGAGAGAGAGAATATGGTAAAACAAGCCATAAATTTCAACAATCAAAACGCCAGGTTGTATACCTCTTGTAGTGAAACTTGAATATGTCCGTGAAACAATAATGCTGTGTGTGACTGAAGCACAAGGCAGACATCGGTGGCCAAAACATATTTCTGAAATTAAAACAGCAAATATTTCTCTTTAAAAACACATGTTTTTAAACAAACACACGATTTTTGTTAAGGATAACATTTCACTCTGCAGTAAATAAACCAGTTAGCATGAGTTTGTTGAGGGCCTATGCCCCATTGGGGGATAGAAGGCAAAGGAAAAAAAAAAAATAAGCTAGCTGGCCAGGTTGGAGTCTTCACTTTAACCATGCATTTTCTTTCCTTTTTGTTTTAATGCAATATTTGGTACTGGCCCTAGTTTTTTTCAAATGTACACATGTAAGGGTGTTACTGTAACAGTGTTTAGATGCCTGCTTGCCAGCCTGAACTTCAGACTGAAGGTCTTGGGTTTGAATCCACAAGATGGAATTTCACAGGGTTCCAGGTGTACTCACCCTACTACTGTACCAGGAAATGTCCTTGGCAGCGAAAATGAGCAGTGTGTAGGTCAACATTGGAGTGCTTACTGGTCTATACAATTAAAAATATAGGCTCTCCTAGCAGATTTGGCCAGCAAGTAGGTCGGCTTCGGTCGGCGTAGTGGGAGTTCTTTCCCATGGCCGCACTCACAACAACGAGCGGAAAAAGTCACGACTCAAACACGACAGTGAGGTCGACATCAGGGCTGCCAATGCTTGGTTGTGTCCCCCAGATCTGGGTTTTTCTTTTGACGCTGCGGGAAAATCTGGCTTTTTTTTTCTTTCTGTGTGTCTGTCTGTGGGTGTTTTGCCGATCTGTAAGCTTTAATGACCGATAAATTTGCGTGGTTAGGGGTTGGGTTAGGGTTAGCGGTAGGATTAGGGTTTGGGTTAGGATTAGGGGTAGCGTTAGGGTTACGGTTAGGGTTAGGGGTAGCGTTAGGGTTAGAGATAGAGTTAGGGTTAGGGGTTAGGTGTAGATGTGACAATTGTGACGCCGTAGTTCCCTATAATCGCGCTTTCGCATGCACGCGCAAACAGTCGACGGACGGTGGATGCTACTGACACGGACAATTCGCCACCGATTGGGCACCAGCCGCGCGCTATTGCCGTCATATTTGCCACACTTCCAGTGGCACCACTCCCACAAACATCAGATTGTCGGCCAGTATTTCGACCTCTTACGTGAAAATTTTCACATCTAACCCTAACCCTACCGCTAACCCAAACCCTACCGCTAACCCAAACCCTAAGCAACCCTACACGCAACCGTAGGATGATAGACACCCTACGCAGCCCTACAAGCAACCGTATGTTGATGATAGACACCCTACGCGCAACCGTAGGATGATAGGTAACCCTAAACGCAACCCTACACTCACCCGGATGATGGTAGGTAAGTAAGTAATTTGATTCGTGACTTTTTCCGCGACTTGTTTTGAGTATGGCGAAGGGACATAACTCCCTCCCACTAAGCCGGCCGACGCCGTCTAGCTTGCCGGCCAAATCTGCTAGGAGAGCCAAAATATGGGTTTAGAACCAGTTCTTCCTCTTCTCTTACCCCCCTCCCCCCCCCCCCCCCAGTGAAGCGTTAGTGAGAGATGTAAGGAATATCTGTATTATTTGGGACTCACGAGCAGCAGCTTCGCATCTCCTGCAGCTTTGCCATCCAGTTTAGCATCAATCCACGTCGCGTGAGCGGCATGCGGGATACTCTCAGCGGTGGCGGTAGTCGCTGGAAAACAGCAAATTAGGTCGCCGGAAGTGCGCAATTGACAGGTGACTGAGGCCCTGTTTTTGGCCGCCATCTTTTGTGCCCATTATTCGGAGATAGCCTAAATAAGTGTCATAAGATACACTTTGTCATTATTATGCTTCCAGCTGCAGCAAACAATACAGGCACAGCTGTGTACGGTAATTTTTTCTTGGTTACCTCTCATTCATACTATTTACTTTCCTAAACTTTTTCCTGTTGATGTTTTATGTACGTGATTCTAAAGATTCTTTTAACTGGAAAAAAAATGTCAATGACAAAGTCACAAAACAAGTGCACTGCAGTGTAATTTGTAAGTGTTGTTAAGTGAAAGTGTATGTAATGTATTGTATACACTGGACTACTGTATATGACAAAAACTAAAACAATTTCTTCCGAAAAACTTGGGTGGCTTCACAAATTAATTCTGCCTCCCTTCCGGCAATATATAATAATGCTAAGTGCATGCAACTTTATAACCTTTTTGAACAGCGCCCAACACAAGCCTGGCGCTACTGCTGACCGCACGAAGCAGGTAGGTCGTCGCCATCTTGCCTTTGCTGGACCACTACAAAACTTGGCTGAAAAAAGCCTAACAAATCAACGAAAGAAATATGTTCAAAGTCCGTGATTTACATTGTATGAATGACCGAGGCCCATTTCACACAGAGTAGTGCCCTCATCCCTGTCTCAGAATCATACTTATCCATTACATGCACTAGTTTCTCTTGCAGTGAATGACTGAATTATAAACAATCTAGCTGCTAATGTACTTTCCAGTCCCAAGTAATGAGAACTACATGCACGTAATTATACCTTTTAATTATACCTTTCGAACAGCACATAAATGAGTGTCCACTTGGACTAATGACTAATTAATGTTATAGATTATCAATTATCTACTAAATATTAGGTTAAGCTCATTAGCTCTAGACGCTGAGTCAGCACAAGTTTGGAAAAAAGACAGAGTTGTTTAACTCTATAATTCGGGTTAAAAAGACTCCCCAATCTGTTAGAAATGACTCACACGAGTATAATTAATGACTACGTTGCCGGGGCCATTGGAGGTAAATATTAACTGACAGTGTTGTAGTAATTACTGTTGATAAAATGCACGAAATCTGCTTGTTGTTTGTGACCGTTTGGTTTAATGCTGACAACAGCAGTATATTTTATTCCGTATATTGTTGTTATTATTTTTTAAATGCTTTGTATGAAATTCCATTCATTATAAATATAACAATATATGCATATTCTTTGCTGTTACTTTATGATGTATATGATTAAATATATATATATATATCATCATCATCATATCGCTTTTGACAATTCAGTCAGACTAACTTTTGAAAACATAAGGCTAGAACAAGGGCTTTCTGGCACACATTATCAGCACTTTTTTGGGGAGGGGGGAGGCATAATTTTGTAGTCAGCACTGCCTTAACTCTTTGAGTCCCAAGGAACGCATCATACATTCATAGATTCCTACCCAGAGGCCCAATGAACGCATAATGCGCTGATTTTACATCTCTCTTGACTACCCCTTGGGCCTGTGATGCTAAACCCCCTGTGACTCAAAGAGTTAAGGCTAGAACCAGTCACAAGCACTTTGTGATGTGACCTTTGTGACCTTTTATTAAAAGTCAGTGGTGAGTACCGGACCTTTTTTATAAGAAAAATCCTTGGCTGGCACCATATACCTCAAGTTATGGAAATGGATACTTTAAACTCATTCACTACCAAAGTAACTCACAATGCATGTATTGATCTTTACCCACATCATATTCATATATTTTTTCTTTGTTTTCACCAGCTGGAAACTCTGGCGGAAAGTTCTAGGTTTTCATTCACCTCTGGACTTTATGATCTGTTTTACAGATCTGGCTTATCTGTCTCTAGACTCTTGTTTCCTTTGCCTCTCAGGCGGATGTTCTCTGACTTTGAAGGATGGCCCCATTTAGTCAACTTTACGGCATGCTTTTTTGGGGGGGGGGCAATGTACTATTCTTGTTTTCCCCACATTGGGGCCCCGGAACCCACATGGGTAATATTCATATACTTATGTAAGTTTTTTTATCTTTTATTCTTCATAAAGTTACACGTTAACACACTCTGCTCTAACTGTTGTCTTGAAAGTTACAACCAATTATACACTAATAATTCTTCTCATCCCCACTTTTGACTCTAGGTTACTTTGTAACTAGATCACTTTGTAACTGTATGCTACTTTGTAACTAGATTACTTTGTAACTGTAGGCTACTTTGTCACTAGATTACTATGTAACTGTAGGCTACTTTATAACTAGATTACTTTGTAAATAGATTACTTTGTAACTGTAGGCTACTTTGTAACCAGATTACTTTGTAACTAGATTACTTTGTAACTGTAGGCTACTTTGTAACCAGATTACTTTGTAACTAGATTACTTTGTACTGTAGGCTACTTTGTAACTAGATTACTTTGTACTGTAGGTGTGTCCTATTATATCTGCATTATACGGTTGAACCTAGTTTCTGGGATTTTCTCCCAGTCATTACTGTTGTATGGAGCCATTGTTTGATGTTTCACCAAGTTGTGTTTTCAGATAGTCAAATTATTTAGAATAGTAAACGGACCCTTTTTTGTCCCTTCAGGCATATTGGGCATTTACAACTAGACCTTATTTTATAGACTAGCTGACACTCAGTGGATGATGTGGTCAACATCACGCCAGCCGTCTCAACATCTCAGGACTTAACCTCGTATCCGATTAAGTCTGGGTCGACGTAGAAGCCAAGGACATTTTTTAAAGAAAGTCTAGCTCTTTCGGGGACGTGAACCCATGTCCTTCGGATCTGCAGGCAAATGTGTAGCCGGTACAGCAGAATGTGTTACTAAAATTATCAAATAGAATGCAGAGGGCAGTCACCACCTGCTGAATTGCACCAGGGGTTGAGGCTCATATTGGTGAAGATATGTCTACACCTCTGCTGTAAACATCCTAGAAACAGGTTCCTATTGGAGGTATTCCCAGTGATATAGGGTCATCATTAGGGGCAAAGGGGAGGGGTCAGAGTGCATCTGCCTGAGAGGTGAGGAACTAAACATCTGTGTATAAATAAGTCAGGTCTGCAAACATTCCGTCTTCTTCTTTGTTCACCAGCTGTAAGGTCCGGGGGAAAGTCCTAGTTGTTCATCCTTTTGGACTTTGGCTTTGTTCCAGGACCTGAGTTTTGTTTGTACATCGGTTTTACTGGCTTATTTGTGTGCAGCTGGTTGCTCCTTGCCGCTCGGGCAGATGCACTTCAATTTCACTGGAAGCTCCCAATTAGTCAACTCTTACAACATGCTTTTTTTTTTTTTGGGTAGTGGACTGTTCTTATTTTCACCACAATGGGACCATGGAACCCAATGCTCAAATCCTGGAACAAGCCCAAAGTCCAGGCATAGACGATCAACCTAAACTTTCTGCCAGAGTACACAGCCAGCAGACGCAGAAGATGAAAAAAAAATGATAATATAAACATCTTTATGTGATACAGTGACTTTGTGTTAAACCTTTCTTTTGCAGGATGTGCAGGAATTGTTGTTGGACATCCTTTAGATACCATCAAGGTATGTATCAGTATGTTAGTCACACATGAGCCACATGACATCTTTTACTGCGGTATTGAGTGGCTAGTATGCATGCTCACAATTCATGTATCATTTCTTTGCAGATGTGGATATACAGAAGATTAGGTCGTATTTCATGGAAACAAAAGCTATCAAATACAGTGGTACTGAGGAAATTAGGAATGAAAAGAGTTGCTAGGTGAAATAAAAAAGAGACAAGTAAAATATTTTGGTCACATTAAAAGACATGACAGTATTGTAAAGATCATCCTAGAGGGAAGGTTCAAGGTAGGCGAGCAAGAGGCAGACAGCGTTACAAGTGGGAGGATAACATAAAGAGATGGACGAACAGCAGTATGAGTGAGTGTACATCAAGGGCAAGAGACAGGGCTTGTTGGAGATCCATTGCAGCCAACCTTCATTGTGGAGATGGAACCTGATTGATTGATTGATGCATGCTCACAACATCTGTGGTTATGGGTTCAACTCATTAATTCAGATTTACAAACACTAGCAGAGCTGCAAGGTGTTGTAATCTTATAGTCCAAGAGTTAAAGTTTCTTCTAGTTTCTTCTAGTGGGTCACAGCGGCAAAAGGTTGCGGCCACCGGTCGGGTCTGTTACCTGGGATTGCTAATTTGAATGCTGGTCGATTAATCACAAAGGCTCCTGCAGAACACAAAGGATCGGCATCAAGATATTTCCCTTGTTCGAAGCACCACTTTGTGAGGTTTTATTTTAATTAACCTTACTTACATTTAATGTCTATTTTGGCAGGAGTCCATTGAGAAAAGAGTAATTCTTTTTATAGTCTCAGAGTAGATAATAGGGAGTTATTATCGTAGTTTTATTGATAATCATCATCATCTTGTGACGTGTAACTTTAATGCCATTAAAGTGTATGCCCCTGTCACAAGCGTCATTGTTGACATTGTAAAGATAGCACTGTGTTAGATGAATGCTTGGCCAAATGGGCCAGTTATAGTATGCAGGACTACACTAGTAGCACAGGAGCTATCCAGCGGAGTACTAGAATAGGCACCCTAGGCCCTAAATACTGGTTCTTGGAATTTACAGTGTACGTGTACCCAACAAATTAAGTGTACAACAAAGGTTAATCCTGCCTAAAATTTGTATCAGAATTGTCCTGGGAAAATAAAGAGGTCAGCATTATGTTGACCACATCACTCATTGTGCTGTTTGGTCTATAAAAAATATGGGGCCGGTATCATATGCCCACTCGTCATCATGTAGCAGGTTCTTTGCAGAACGTCGCTCTCATCACAGTCTGCCTGAAAGAAACTGGGTCTCTCGCCAGTTCTCCTGCCTCATGCACTTTCATACTCAAGAAGTCACTTATATCCTGTGCCCATCTTCATGTCGGTCGGTCGGCCCCTGCCCCTCCTTCCTGGTACCATGCCTTCTGCTATAATTTGTTCCAATGCCCACCAGGCCAATTATATGTAAAAGATTTACTTCACTGAATTTTTTTTTTTTTAAACACCTTTATCTGTATGCATCACATGTTGATTTATAGCTAATTGAACTGTCCTCTGACACAAAACAGTTAAATGGATACAACGACATGTCCTAGGAATGTAAAGGTTACGGGTGAATTCAAATACGCAGTTTTATCAAAGACAAACGAAAGAGATCGTTTGGCTGTCTAGTGAGAATGACCTGGTATCAACCGCCACAGAGAGCCATGCTGAAGGAACATAATGGGCACAGAGCAAGGGAAAGACCATGTAGGAGATGGAACAACAACATCAAGTGCAGCCTTAGAGAAATGGTGGCCATCTAACACAATAGATTGAACACTGATGAAGTTGCTAGAGGCAGTGAAAAAGATGTAATGAGTTATATAGTTACAATACAATTTCTGTAACATTTTCCTGCTCTCAATCGAATGTTTTGTATGCGTGTTTAGGTGCAAATACAGACCCAAGAATATGGAGGAAAGTACTCAGGGCTCATGGACTGTATAAGAACTGTACACAGGCAGAATTTAGTAAGAACATTTTATCGTAAGTATGTTTGTAATTAGAGCTGCAGTGGCAGTTTTCAGTCAGACGAGAAGGCCAAAGACCTGTATGAGGGTTGTGGTGTGACACCTGTTAAAGAAGAAGGTACGCAGGGCTTATGGGGTGCATAAGAACTGTACTCAGGCAGAATTTAATCAGAACATTTTATTGTCAATAAATTTGCAACTGAGCTGCATTGGCATCTGTTTGCATACTGGTCTGATGGTTGTATGTTTGAATCCACAATGAAACTTTTTTTTTTTTTTTTTTTTAGTGGCAAAAGGGCGCCAAGTTGACCCAGCCTGAAATGGTTACTAGGGAATGTTTTATGAAATAAAGACAGCCAGCTTAGTGTTGACCACATCTTCACTCGTGTGTTAGATGGTTTTTATAAATAATAAATGAAAGCCACATACCCAGTTAGTTAGTTGAGTATTCTTGACAGGAAGTTGCAGAACAAATCCCAGCATTTTTTGCTGTTGTGGTTTTGCTAGGCACATTTACATCTAATAGTTTGCCATTGCTTTCTGGACGGTCAGCTTCTCGATACCACTGTCGAAACCAGTGCAAGGCCTGCAGCTGGGATCGAACCCGGCAGCCTGACATTACGAAGCGTGTTCGTAACGCCTATGCCACAGACGCCGACACATACCTAATATGTGTAAGAAAATGTGTCATACTCTCCACTAGTGAACACTGGAAAGCCATTTGTCTTGCACTTTGAAGGTCGTGGATTTATTTCAGGGCAGAGGCATCATCCAGTTCATGGAAGCGAAATTTACAGAGACCTATAGGGATCGTCAACACAGCTACGGTGAGATGCTGTTGGCAGGCTAGCTGTTCTCTGGTGAGAGACTGAGCCATATGGGATAAAACCCAGTTCAGTGAAGTTAATTAATACTCTCACCTTTGGAATTGAAATGATGGGTCATTTGAGGGGGGGGGGGGGGGAATGCATTATGACCATGCTCAAGACATAAATAAAAATAAAACAAACATACAATTTGTACTTGTCACTAATAAATTAATTTAAAATATATCTAGATTTTTTAATTAACCTTTTTTTTGGGTCAAAATATATAAAGATATATGAAGGATTGAAAGTTGAATCAAGAATCGAAATCATAGCACTCGGGACCCTCACATAAGCACTCCATTCTTATTATCAGCAGCAAGCGAAGAGTTCACATTCCAGTGGTACCAGTAACTGTCTGTATATTTGTCTGGCCCTTCTCTTGAGTGCTGAGCGTCGGCCAGATCTCCTGGTAACTCCCCACAGCACCATTTTCCTCATATATGAAGGTTGTAATCAGTAAACACAAACAGGGTGAAGCATTGAATGGAAAACATTCAAAGCCACAAGGCTTTAAATCCTCAGGCTCATCCCCCCCCTTCCCCCCTCAATCCTGTCCTACCCTGAACTGGTACTATTAGCCATCGGACGTTGGGATTCATACTGAGGGGAGGATCTGAGCACCTATGGACATGTCCGGAGTGCAATGATGATAACCCAACTAACTAACTAACTAATTTTCCTGTCCTACCCTGCCCTTAAAGAAGTAAAGATAGTTTCAAAGATTGTTAATTTTAGAGTTGTTTTTCCTTGTCTCTTGCAGTCGAAGGGCTATTTCCGAGGACTTAGTTGGCCACTTTTTTCCTATGGCTATCTCAATGCCATATTTTTTGGTTCCTATGGATTTCTACTGAGAAAACTGGGACATCCAGAAGACACTACACAGAAGCCAGACTACCTGATAATTGGGTTCTCTTCAGCTGTTGCTACAATTCCACAGTTAGTGTTCTCATGTCCTGTGGAAGTAGTTAAAGTCACGCTGCAGGCACAGATTCCTCACACACAGGGAGGTAAGTCTTGATTCTTTTTGTTGTTGATCAGTTTTGATTTGTAAAGGATTGATTTTAATTGCTCATGCATATTTCTATAAATGCTCTAGTGAGGTCTTTGTGGTATAGTGGTCAAGCTGTTTGCCGTATGCTCTAAAGATCATTGGGTCATTTCACAGGTGTGTTGTTTAGTTTGCGCATACAGTTCATAGAGAGATCTCTGGGATTGTTGCTGGAACTACAGAGTGCGTGCTTTGTGCAGTGCTCTGGGTAGGCAGCCAGCTATTCTACGGAGAAAGACCGGGCCATGTGGGGCAAAATCTGGTGGAATTAAAGCAATCCGCTGAACACCAACTTTATGAAAGCTCCTTCTGCAGATTACATGAGAAGACTGGCAGTATAGTCTGTGCCACTGGGAATCAAAGTTCATGGCTATATCAGTTAAGACCTGGAATTAACTTACTCCTCTCTAAAGCACCAAGTGTTGCCCATGCAGCATGGTCCATCTTCATGTCTGCTTTGTTAACTCCAAAGAAAAGGTAACACCAATAACTTTGCAACAAGGCATGCTACAGACAAGAAGTGCTCTAACTGTCTGCCTGTCATAGCTTCACACCTGTGAAATGAGATGCCTGAGAAAGCCAGCAACTTAACCATCCAAGACATAGTTAAAAATGTACTTTTCAAATGGTTTTTATGTCTTTTCTTGAAAGTTCTTCTTCTTCTTCTTTCGTTCGCTTGAAATAAATTATCTATGTCTGCAATGTTGTCTCTAATATGAACTTTATCCTTTGCAATTCACTCAGCGACCCGTAAAGTTTCACTTGCACCGATGTTTCTTCTGGAAGTTTTTGTCTGGAAATGTTGTATTTGGGACAGCCTTGGAGGACATGATCTGTTGTCTCAGGTGCCAATCCACATGTGCACATGGCTGATTCGCCGATTTTAAATTGTGTGTACTGAATCCTTTTCTAAGCATAGAATAATAACTTGATCTGGTCTGTCCATAAAATGGTAATCATCTTGTGCTGGCTTTGGTGGCTTTCTGATTGATTTGATCTTGAAAGTTTAAAATAATATTATCAGACAGACTGTGGGAACAAAGTCATTCAGAAAATTCTTTGAGAAACAGAAAATCTAATGGTTTGGGTCATTTAGTAAGAATACAGACAGAACCAACTACTAATGCAGGCGCTACACATGAAAAGGTCTCTAGTGAAAGCAAGAGGTTGCCCAAGGATTAAATGGGTTGATGACATTAAAGATCTTCTACATCGACACGGAATGACAACAATCATTGCTGCCCATCAGGCAATGGATCACAAACAATTCCTCCCCACAGTGCTTAATGGAAGAAGTGCAAGTTGGTGATGATGACAATGATGATGATGATCGCAGTTATATTATACCACATGTAGTTGATGAAGACTCAAGTGTACTTCTTCTCTTTCTTTCATTGCAGTATCCAGAGTGCAGATGAGCAAATATTACAATGGGCCTATTGAGGCATCAGTAAACATTATGCAGAAATCTGGATTACGAGGGATATACCGAGGTTTGACGACGCAGATTGTGAGAGATACCCCAGCCAACTGTATATACATGGTTCTTTATGCATTCTTTCAGTATGAAAGTCAACACTGGCTGCCTTCCATCCCCAGCCAGGTCATCAACTTCATCGGGGGAGGTATATCTGGTGTGCTGAGTTGGTTAGTCATCATGCCATTTGACGTTGTCAAGAGCAAACTGCAGGCAGATACCGAAGGCAAAATGTACAAAGGGTTTGGGGACTGTGTTAAGAGAGTCTATGCGGCTGAAGGAGTTAAAGCTTTTTTTCTGGGTATTGGCCCAATGGCAATGAGAGCGTTCCCCGTCAATGCAGTCACTCTGATGGTATACACTGAAAGTCTTCTGTATCTGAAAAAATTGGAACGTGCCAATGATTTGTAGTGCCTTTCATCATCATCTTCATCATAACTTGCTGATTTCATGATAGTTGTTTTGTTCTAAGAAGCTTGAAACAAACGCTTCCAGTTGGGTGCAGTTTCCCGTAAATGTTTATCATTATGAATTAGTGATCTCAAGGAAGTCCTCATTGATTTATTGCTGCTGCGTTTTAACCAGATCATTCCTCATACGGGTTCTTGGGCTCCATTTGAGTCTTACTTGTGTTTTTGTGACATTCGTCAAGAAGGAAACTATGTAAATTTCATGTTTTTGACAGTACCTTTTGCCCTTTCATTTCTGTTTATGATCTCAATGTCACTGCTGCTATTCTGTTGTATCTTATTATGTGCATACTTCAGGAACAAACACCTTTTAATTGCTACTGTAGCATCCAACTAGCAAGATACAGCAGAGTACGCGAGGCAAAAAATTGTGCAGACAAAAAGACTTGGTTGTGAACTGCTGTTATCATTTGACCAAGATAGCTGTGGCCTGATACGGGTTTAATTTTGTCAGTGTTTCTATGTTTGTGAACTTTCTTTAATTCCTTCATTAGTCATTTCATGCCTGTTTTTATACTGTGACTCAAAGTCACCTGCAGGCGGTTTGGAAGCAGACTGCTGTTATTGTTTCAGTGGTGTTAAAGAGTCCTTTACTTCCTTTACTTTACCTACATTACTTTGTTAATTGTTATTTACATTGTTCTATTATTATTCCAGTTAACTCCATTATTATTGTTGTTAACAAAAAACATTTTATTATTTTATTTTAAGAATTGGGAGGGGCAAGGGAGGGGGGGGGGGAATGGCAAGTATGGTTAAAATATACTCTTATTATATTGCATGTTGGCTTGAATAAATTGTATATACATGATTTATAATTATACAATTCTCATATGTACTTCAGGGATTGAAGGTCACTTGCAGGCAGTTTGAAAGCAGGTTGCTGTTTGTTGATTTTGACAACATTATGAATGTCATACAGTCAGAATGCAGTGGCAAACTACTGAGTGTAAAGTTGCCTTTTTAACCACACACACACACACATGTACACACACACATGCAAACATGCACACACACAGGGTATTGATGTACTTAATACATTGATTGTTTCTAATGTAAATGGTGTTAAGATGTATGAAACACATTTGTATCTGCAATAATGCTTATATATAATACAGTGGAAGGTCAAAGGTGAACTGCTGATTACAAACTTGACTAACTTTAGGCCAAGAAATAAATTCAAGGTCAGTTAAAAACAAAAAACAAAAATTTCAGAATAAATCAAGAGCCTATTGTTTCTCTGGGAGGTTAGAGGCAGTGCAGTGGCTAGACATTTGACTCCCAGGCTATAAGTCGTGGGTTTGAATCCTCATTGAGGCAGATTCTTTTTCATAAACATGTAAATTATGTTTTCACCTTATACAGAGTTATAGAGGAATCCTTTGAGGAGTCAGAAATGTAGTTCCACAGAAAAATGCTTAAAACTCCTTGCACAGCCAAAATAGTGAAATTTTGAAGCTGATTGGTTCTACTGTTTGTTTTGATACATTTTCACAACCAAAATGAGTTGTCTAAATGATTTCTTCTTCATTGCGCTCACCGGCTGTAAACTCCGGCAGAAAGTTCTGGTTGTTCTTCCATTTCTAGACTCTACTCTAGTTTCTATTGCCTGTGTTTTGCATGCACTTTCATTTCACAGATCCAGCTTATCTGTACACAGACTGTTGGTTCCTTGCCTCTCTCAAACAGATGCATTGGACTTAAAAGAAACCCCTAAAAATCGGGATGTTTATGACATGCTAGTTAGGGAGGCAGTGGGACTATTCTGTCCCCCCCCCCCCCCCCCCCCCCCCCCCCCCCCCCCCCCCCCCGCGCCTCTTCCCCCACAACGAGACCCTAGAACCCACACAGGGATCTAAATGTTTTCTTCTTCTTCTTTGCGTTCACCAGCTGTAAACTCTGGCGCAAAGTTCTGGATGGACTGCACACTTTTGGACTGCAGTCCTGTTCCAGAATCTGAGTGTTGTGTGTGCATCAGTTTTAAAGATCCGACTCATTTGTATGCAGACTGCTGGTTCCTTGCCTCTCGGGCAGATGCACTCCGACTTCGGAGGAAGCTGCAAATTAGTCAACTCTTACGACATACTTTTGGGTAGGCAGTGGTTCTATTCTTTTTCCCCTATATATAATAGGGCCCCGAAACCCACACGGGAGCATAAATGTTTTGAAAGATACTAATGTAGTACCAATATATAAAGACAACTTATAACAAGCATTGGAAAGAGACAGTGACAATTTTTTTGCCGGATCTTAGAAGTAAAAGCTTGAACGTATGACAACTGGAAATGGTTATGGAAAGCATGAAGTTGAGTTGAGAACCAATGTCATAGTGCTGTGATGTCAATTCTTGACTCAACTTGTCATAGCATTCCGGATATTCCCATAAATGCTCCATTCCCATCTTCAGCAGCCAGGGCATACTTTTCATTCTGATGGTACCAGTAGCCATCTGACTTATGGCCATCTTGTCTTTCCTCTGAGTGTTGAATATCAGTCAGATACCCTCATCACTCCATTCTCTTCATACGGTGGTGATCTATTTGTACCTCTTCTCTGTTCACTCACTCCCAAAGGGCATAAATAAAATATAGATTTTCATACATCACTTTACCGCTAAGTGAATCAGAACCAGACAGTCTGTCTGTCTGTTCATTTGTCAGCACACCTGCATTCCTCGGAGAAATTATCCAAAGTATTCTAACCACCATATACATCTAAAGCGATGCTTGCCACTCTGCATGGGGCATATCTGTTTCCACCTTTCTCAATATGCTTGGAAAGAGAGATAAAGGAAGAGATAATTTCCCACAGTCTTTATCATCATATAAATTGACCCTGCAACCCCAAGAATACACAATTTAATCACTTCTGATTATGACACAATCCCCTAAGGGCCAAAATATAGCCATGTCTGCAGTGACCTGCTATTGAAAAATTAAATAAATTCTATTGCTCCTTATGAGCCCATGGTTTTTTTTTAAAGCCCAAGTTGATGTAAATTTTTCCTGTAAACCTCAATGATAGAGGTCACCTGAAAGATTTTTGTTTTGTTTTTATTACCCTGGGAAATGTGTTTCACTTAATGCTTGACTCTGTTCATTTCTGTTCTTTACCCTTTTATATGTCTTTATATATTTCAGGAAAAAAAAAACATTAAACATGTAATGAAATACATTTTTTTAAATATTTATTAGTGACCTTATGTTTTTTAAATTTGTTATTATTATTTTATTTTTATATTTTTTAATTTCAGGACCTTACCCTGGAAATTCATAACTTTTTGTTTCATTCGCAATGTGAAAGGGTTGAAACATGTTATAAATGACAAGATAGGGAGGGGCATGATCACACATGCCAGTCGGCAAAGCTCTTGTTTGATGATGAGATGACAAACTGAATGAATCGATGAAATGATTACTTTTAATAATTCAACACAATAAAATATGTTTTTTTATAGAATGTCACTCTAATTTTCTGTAATTCTTATTTAATAATATATTCGCACTGAATTTAGATGATTGTAACATTTGTGACTGGGCATATTTTGTTTATTAAGTTATGTTGTAATCTTTCTTTGTCATTTGAGGTGAAAGAGAAAATTCTCAAGACTGTTACTGAAGAATTATGTGTAAACGGTGGAGATGTGGTTTTATAGACAAATGACAAAAATAATCTGGACAGATAAAAAGAATAATTAAGGTGTTTTCAAAGAAACTGACTGCCCACATTAGAAGGAGACAGTCTACATTCTTTGGTCATATCATGAGAAGGAGAAGACTGGAGTACATTGTGATGGTGGGAAAGTTGCAGGAGAAAAGAGGCAAACAGGAGACTGAGACAGACAATGATGGACAGTTTGACATTATGGCTTGGAAAATCGTCTATGTCAGTACTGACTGAAGGTACACAAAATTATGGGTAGATATAACTGCCAACATGGCAGGGATAAAAAGAAGAAGAAACCCTTCTGGATGCATTTGATGAGGCACAGTAACAAGTGGCTGACAATAAATTATGCAATGTGATTTTTTTTATATTTTTTTTTCTCCAATTATTAATAACTGCACTCTAACTAGTTTGAGTCACTAACAAGGAATGTGTTGAAATTTTATTCTTGGACCACAAGATGCAGATATCACAGCCTAGCTGTAAACCACAGCCTGCCAGCTGCCCTTTAAAGGCAAAATCAGAAGAGGAAGACACTCATTATTTGAAAAGATAATGTAACTTTTGAACTTCTAATCATTATCAAGTGTCCTTTTTGTATTGAAGGTTGGTTATAATGAGTCTCCATTTTATTTGTCAAATGTCATCAGAGTGCACTCAGATACACTACTTCCAGTCTTATGTTTTCCAGAGACATGTAACATTGTCTTCCTTTCACACATATTTAGTATCTTATGAGTGCACTCAGATACACTACTTCAAATCTTATGTTTTCCACATGCTCGTAACACTTGTTTTCCTTTCACACATATTTAGTATCTTCTGAGTGCACTCGGATACACTACTTCCAATCTTATGTTTTCCACAAGCATGTAACACTGTCTTCCTTTCACACATATTTAGTATCTTCTGAGTGCACCCGGATACACTACTTCCAGTCTTATGTTTTTCACAAGCACATAACACTGTCTTCCTCTCACACATATTTAGTATCTTCTGATTTATGTTTTCCATAGACATGTACCATTGTCTTCCTCTCACACATATTTATTATCTTCTGATTTATGTTTTCCATAGACATGTACCATTGTCTTCCTCTCACACATATTTATTATCTTCTGATTTATGTTTTCCATAGACATGTACCATTGTCTTCCTCTCACACATATTTATTATCTTCTGATTTATGTTTTCCATAGACATGTAGCATTGTCTTCCTCTCACACATATTTATTATCTTCTGATTTATGTTTTCCATAGACATGTAGCATTGTCTTCCTCTCACACATATTTATTATCTTCTGATTTATGTTTTCCATAGACATGTAGCATTGTCTTCCTCTCAAAGATATTTCCCACTTTTTTCTATCACCACATCATTTAATAAGTCGCTGTGTCTTTTTGCAATACCAACAGTATACAACTCTTGTTACATTCTTGCGTCCAATGTCCATAACCAATATATCAAAAATGTACATTACCTCTCCAGGGTATACTTAAAATATATTTACCTATGAAATATACATTTACTGTTTTTGAATTGGTACATCGTATTTTTTTAAAATGAATGTATTTATGTTGCTTAATTTTTGTACTGAGATGCTGGCATTTGGATAGGACACATTTGTATTAAACCTGAGAACAATATAACTAGAATGTCTGTGCACTGGAACCCACATAGATTTACACCAGATGAGAAAGTGAAGAATAAAGTGAAAACAATTAAAGACAACACATATTTAAAAAAAACAATTTCAGTGACTAAAGCTTGAGGGAAAAGATTCACCCCCTGATGAACAAGTCAAAATAGTTTATTTGTAGGTCACAGCTGAGCCTAAGACATTTTAATTAAGGAAGTAGACATTGAAGACTGCACATTTTGCATTTGTTTTTATTACTAAAGCTTGCTAGCAAATGGAAAACCCAAGTGGATTACATTGAATATGAAGTATTCATCTTTTCTTTAAAAAAAATATTAAAACATGATGACAATAAATTCTGCACTCAGAGTGCACTTAATGTTTAATTCACCATCATGTGTGTATGTGCAGGCATTTGCACACATGCATGATAATGCGGGCTCAGCCCTTCGCATGTCTTTTGAGAGCTCAAGGGGCTAAGCCTTGTTTAAATGCATAATTACACACACACATACTTATTTGTTCATACACACACACATGTATATGTGTACTTGATGTCTTATATATTCTTGTATGACCAGACTTCCCTTGAATGCACTACAGTTTGAATTGTAACTGTGGAACTCATTCAAACCAAATTCAGAGCCACAATGTTAATCCTATCCATGGGACTAAAAAGCTTAAAAGGGGATATGAGACCAATGTACACAAAACAAATAAATCAATGTTTCGACCAGAGCCTTTCTCAACATAAACTAAACAGCATGTTGAGAAAGGCTCTAGCCAAATTAGTGATTTGCTGGTTTTGTACACATTGTTTCCCTTCCCCTTTTCATTAAGCTTTGTAGTCACAGTGCATTGGATTAATTTCTTCGTATTACTTTAACGACAGCTGCCCTTGTGAGCCAAAATAATATTGCATTTGAAGTTTCCAATGAGGCAGATCAGTGCTCCCCAACTATTTCCACCCACAGGGCCCTTTTTAGAACTGATATCTTTAGTGGATCCCTGAAGCCTAGCATACCCTCTGTCTCACAGGTATACCTTTCCATTCAGATGTAACAGAAATAGTTTCAGCTGCTACATACAGTTTTATACCATTGACGCTACTGTGTCTTCACTGGTTCATTTTATATTCTTTCTTAGTAATTGAGGGAACTGCTGTGATGTAGTGGCTAGAAGCTTGACTGCGGGTCTGAAAGTTGGTTCAAATCTGCATCGAGCAGAATTTTTGTTTAAAAAATCTGCTTGCTTCTTAGGTCGACCCAGCCTTAAATAGGTAGCAGACAAAGTCCTAGGAAGTAAAGGCAGTTGGTGTGATCTTGGCAGACTGATCTGTAAACTATAGGTCTAGCACAATATACCTATTTGCCTTAGGATGTGGAAAAGAGTCCTTCATTTTAACTACATAAATTATTTGCCATGGTTCTGTTAATGACAACCTTGCTACTTTGTTTGATGGTAGATGTAAAGCAGAAGCAATGAACATTGCAGCCATGGTCGGTGTTTGAAACCGGGCGGAAATGGGTACCAGTGTTGCCACTCTTGGGTAAATGGAGGAACATCGCTGTAGCTACAGAGTTATGTGCGAACGGCGACACAGGCGGAAAATTCTTATCAGCTGTCCGTACTAGTGGCAGAGTACTTATGATTTATAACTGTGTGCAATGACGCTGGTTCAAATCTCCAGACTTTACCTTTTTATTAGTGAACTTATGACACACACTTCTTTATGCACATATAAACTAAAACAGATGAGAATTTACATGCAACATAAAGGAAAGTTAGTGTCCTGAGGTTTAATAAGTCTTTGTGCTGCTGGATTGACATCCGCTGTGTGGCTTATCTGGTCGCAGGGGTGTCAAGCCTTGAGAAAGCAACCAGGATGGGGAAAAACTAAGCTGGCCTAGAATAAGAATCCATTTTGTCTTCAGTGTCCATCTGGTCGACGTGAATTGTCAGTGTGGACCAAGAGGTGAAGAAAAGACACTGGCATGAGATAGAACACATGTTTAGAAAACCTGAGAACTGGATAACTAGAATGTCTTTGCACTGGAACTCACAGAAGTATAGAAATAAAGGGAGACCAAAAACACATGGAGAAGGGAGCTAGAGAATGAAGTTAAAAAGATGGAGAGAGCTGCGCAATAAAATAGAGTAAAGTTGGTTGAGAGCCAATGCTACATTGAGAGCTAGAAAGGCAGAAGAAGTAGAATTACCCATGTGTTCCCATGGACAACAGAACTTGGGGACTCAGACATCTTCACCCCTACCCCCACCAAACTTTACTAAAAAATTTACTTATGGCTTCAATGCCCCCTTTTCTCTTATCTCTAATCATATACAGAGATTCTCTTTTTAAGTATCTGTTTGTACATTTCATTGTTTTTCAAATGATTCAGAAAGCATGCTGAGGAAGATCAGAACAGGTATGCTTCATGCAGAGGTTCATGCTTCGCTGCGGAGGACACGGGTGAGAAGTATTGTCTGGATTTTTTCACCAGGGTACGCCAGTGTGTTAGGAAATGAACAGGCAGACAGACTGGCTGGCTCTGCACAACTTGGTGGAATATTGATACATGATAAGGCAGACGTGCCTTGTGGGAGAGTGTGTACAGTTCGGAGGAGCAGATGGATCAACGTGGTCTGGTGAGATTGATGCAGCGGGGAGTGACGAGAGGTTCTGGCAGATGCTCGAGGCTCAGAGGAAAGGCAAGACGGATGTTTAATCAGAATGCTACTGGCACCATTAGTATCGGAACTCTTCGCTGGCTGCTGAACATGGGGACGGAGCGCTTATGGGAATGCCCCGAGTGCTGTGATGTCGGTTGTTGAATCAAATCAAATCAATCAAATTGTTTTTCAAATATATTTTATATTTACTCACAATTTAACATAAAAATATTTTTAATTTGCACTTAAACAAGGCTTGGATCCCTTGAGTCAGTCTTTCTCTAGATATATTATAAAGGGGTCTAAGGAGCTCCCACCACAATGTTTTCCTTGTGTCAGCACCACTGATGTGTCTTCTCAAAAGCTCACCTCCACAGCTATTGCGATGTTCTCGGATGAGTTGGACGGCAGGTATTCTATATTCCAGATACCGTTGGGAACAGCCACTGGAAATAGAGAGTTATATTAAAATTAATCAAATAAAAATTTACTTACAAATTGTGTTTCTACATCTTCTACCACTGAAAATAGAGAGTTATATTAAAATTAATCAAATAAAAATGTTCTTACAAATTGTGTTTCTTTTTCTTCTTTGTTCACCGGCTATAAGCTCCAGCAAAGCACTGACTGTTCGTCGGTTTAGACTTTGGCTTTGTGGCAGGTCCCAAGTTTGACTGGCTTATTTATGTACACTTAGTATTATGAAAAATTATGAATGTATAAAGAAAACATGTAGAATCGTCATGTACATAGAAACAAATCTGTAAAAGAATTATCAACATATGGAGAGGAGAGTGATCCACATATAGTGAAAGTGTGTACAAGAGTGTATTAATTGATGGAGAAAATATATAGAAGAATATTAACATAAGTTGGTTGCGTACCCTTAACAGAACGTTGCAGAACCAATCCCATAAATTTTTGGCTGTTGTGGTTTTTCTAGGCAAATTTCACGTTCGGTAGTTTGCCATTGCCCCTGAACGGTCAGATCTTAATACCACAATCGAAACCAACCCAAGACAAAGTGTCGGCAACTGGGATAGAACCCGGCACCCTGGCACTACAAAGTGTGTTCACAATGCCTAAGCCACAGACAGTATTAACATAAACATGTAAATACAATACATTAAAAAGTTTTCAACATATAGTTACAATGTACACAAGAGTATAGAGAAAATATGAAGCCTAATGAACTTGTAGAGAAAATATATACAAGAGTATAAAGGGGTGGAAGAAATATAAAGAAGAGTTATTAACAGTGCTTTTTTTCCCCCAACATCACACAGTGGTACAGTACTATTCTTCCTGCGCTAATGTAATAGACACTCTGTAAGAGTACCCATACATTTTTTCTCTAGAAAGAAGCCCCACTTACTAATATTTAAAGAAAGCATGTAGAAAACTTACATACATGTAGTGAAAATATAAAGAAGCGTTATTATATAGAGAAAATATCTAGAAGATTTATAAATTTGTGTGTGTGAATATGTAAGGAGTTATTGAATGTTGAAAAAATATATATATAAGAGGTTTTAAAAAAAACCATTGCTGGAAGAAACGTACAAACTTCTCCTTGTTGCAGGGTAGCTTGTAACACGGGGCAGACGGTTTTGCACAGATCAATGGCACTGATGTAGACGTGATTCTCCCCTTTGAGTTGTATCAGGAAAATAATATCTTGGGTGAAACTCAGCTGTGTAGCACACAAATAACAATGATCAGACAAGTGTAAATGAAATCATTGGCAAATTAGGTAAGCAATGTTAAACCCCAACGGGACTGCACAATGAGCGATAAACACCTGTTGACATAAAGTGCCATCATTCGAATGAGATTTGCCCAAGCACAAGTCCCAGAAACTCTGTTTAAGCATTAGGTTATTTTAGGGCCTCCATGACAGTCAGGGTGGGTGCTTTAAAATAAATATCCTGGGTGGACAAGAAGAATATTGTGAATATCCTGGGTGGACAAAAAAAATATTGTGAATATCCTGGGTGGACAAAAAGAATATTGTGAATATCCTGGGTGGACAAAAAGAATATTGTGAATATCCCTGGTGGACAAAAAGAATATTGTGAATATCCTGGGTGGACAAAAAGAATATTGTGAATATCCTGGGTGGACAAAAAGAATATTGTGAATATCCTAGGTGGACAAAAAGAATATTGCTAATATCCTGGGTGGACAAAAAGAATATTGTGAATATCCTGGGTGGACAAAAAAAATATTGTGAATATCCTGGGTGGACAAAAAGAATATTGTGAATATCCTGGGTGGACAAAAAGAATATTGTGAATATCCTGGGTGGACAAAAAGAATATTGTGAATATCCTGGGTGGACAAAAAGAATATTGTGAATATCCTGGGTGGACAAAAAGAATATTGTGAATATCCTAGGTGGACAAAAAGAATATTGTGAATATCCTAGGTGGACAAAAAGAATATTGTGAATATCCTAGGTGGACAAAAAGAATATTGTGAATATCCTGGGTGGACAAAAAGAATATTGTGAATATCCTGGGTGGACAAAAAGAATATTGTGAATATCCTGGGTGGACAAAAAGAATATTGTGAATATCCTGGGTGGACAAAAACAATATTGTGAAAATCCTGGGTGGACAAAAAGAATATTGTGAATATCCTAGGTGGACAAAAAGAATATTGTGAATATCCTGGGTGGACAAAAAGAATATTGCGAATATCCTGGGTGGACAAAAAGAATATTGCGAATATTCTAGGTGACAAGAAGAATATTGTGAATATCCTGGGTGACAAGAATACTGAAAATATATTGGGGGAACAAGAAAATTACTACAAAGTGTGTCCTTGTCAGCTTATATCAGCTGAGCTGGAAACAATATATTTAGCCTGCAGACACCACAACATTTTTTTTAATTTGTATTGTTTCATGCAGTCTACAGGCATGTTTTTATTCTGAAATAGGTGGTGTCTGTGGTGAGGGTTGTTATAAAGTAAACATTGCTTCCAAAGCGCTGCCATCTCTAGCAAATATTTTTTAAACTATTACAAAGTGCACAACGATACAAACATCTCCTTGTTGCAGGGTAGCTTGTAAATCATCCAAGAAAAGAAAGCTGGCTGTTTTCACTCACTAATTTTTAGTGGATTGTGTTGCTTCATACTGGATATTCTTACTTACTTACTTAGTCGCTCCTCTTCTACCTTGGGTGTAGAGGTTTGCCAGAGAGATCGCCAGACGTCTCTATCAGCAGTTTTCTTTCTGGCTTTGTTCCATTCTAGTCCTCTGTCAGTCAGGGACTGTCGGATGTTGTCTTCCCAGTGCACCCTGGGTCGTCCCGGAGGTCTGGTTCCCTGGTTCTTAGCCTCCCATGCTTGCCATGGTGGCCGATTTTCTCCCATTCTGCATACATGTCCAAACCATCGTAACTGTGACTGATCCACTCGGGTTAGTAAGGGCTGGGTATCAAGATCTTGACGTATTGTCTGATTGCGGACTTTGTCCCTTCTTGTCACTTGGACCACCTTTCTCAGGTATCTCATTTCCGAGGCCTGCAGCTGGCTTCTGTGAGCTGTTGTCATTGCCCATGACTCACACCCATAGGTCAGGACTGGTACATAGGTAGAGCGGTAAACAGCCATTTTCGTCCTCTTGCCAATTTCTCTTTTGCTAAGAAACCCTCGGTTTATGGCCTGGAAGAGTCTCCCAGCAGCTGCTTTTCGTGTAGCCAGCACTGGATATTCACCAGCTAAAATTTAGTAGTTTCCTTTGTACTTTTGTTTTTTGTTATACTCTCTACTTTGTACACAGTATTTTGAGCTGAAAATGGAATATCCTAAGCAGGTCAGTGGCCACTTCACACCCCCCCCCCCTTTCCCTTTTCGGCCCTATAAAAAAAATTCTAGAATTTATTATTTTTACTTTTCATTAAGGAGCTAATACATTTTAAGAAGTGAGATTATATAAGCCTATCAACTATATAGCCATACTAATTAAATGATCATCATCAGGTGCCTTTGATAATGGCGTGGGCGATCATGCCTCTCCACAATCTGCGATGTCCTGCAGCATGTATCAGTTCGTGTGGCGACACACTTCCATGCCATGCAACAAGACTGTCTTCCTCTATCCCTCTTTCCACAGATCTTTCCAGTGATCACAACATGTTCCTTAGCCTTCTCTTGCATTTCAAACCAGTCGATGCACTTTGATAATATTGTTTCTGCTTCTGAGTGGCTAGTTGTAAGATTTTGTTTAAAAACTGATCCTTTATCGCCATCAGTTTTTTTTCTCCCTACAATTGTAGTCACACTAGAAACAATTTCATCATCGTTCAAAGTTTCAAAGCCCCCCATTCATTTTGTCACACTCCAGCCAATCTGTTTCTTCCTGTGACGTAATGTTTTCACGGTTTAGTCCTACATTGTTGCACAATTTTGTCAACGCTAACACTCTCAGTTCCAGAGCTGCCAATGAGATTTGTATCAAATCCCAAGCTACGTGGCCCCAAAAAAACCAGCAATACAAAAGCAAAGAACAAAAAACAAAAACCCAAGACTGATAAAAATACAAATTTTATAGTAAAGAAACGAAACATTTATCCCCTTTTATATAACGATATATTTTGTAGAAAAAAAACCAAGATTCTAAAATCTGAATCCAGGGCGTCTAATAAAAACCCAGATCTAGGGGTAAAAACCCATCATTGGCAGCCCTGCTCAGTTCCTTCAGTTACATCAATAGATTCAGGCAAGAGTTTATTCCACAAATTTTTTGGGGGGATAGACAAAATAAGGTTAGCCCAGGCAGTGACCACATTGCAAATAGCGTTCTTTGTATTGTATCTCTTCTAGAAATTATGTGACAGTCAGGGTATCATCAGATGTGAGCCAGTCATTGATAAAATCTATCCTGTAACGTCACTGCATATATTCAATTATGCCCTGGTCTTTAGGCTGGATAAGTCGAGTTCTATTTACGACAGATAGCAGAAAATGACGGTTAAACAAGTGACGGTTAATCAATATTTTATTTAAAGTACTTAACTGTATTTTATTGCGCCTTTTTGTGAGATTTGTTCTTGAAAATGTTTTTCGTTGTGACTTCTTGTAAGATTTGTTCTTAAAACTGTCTTTCATTGCGCCTTTTTGTGAGATTTGTTCTTGAAATGATTGTACTGGGACAAGATCGGCAATGGTGGGATCCTGTAAAAGGATGTCAAGAGCCACAAGCACGAGGGGACATATGACAGGGCCATTCAGCTGAGTTTTCTCAGGGACCAAAATCTAGAATACTTATATTAATTGCATGCACAGTCGATAGCATGAAAACCGAAAGGATTAGAAATGTGGTTCATTTAACGTGTATATGGCACTTAAATATAAAATTAATATTTGTGAAATGCGCTGTCTCCGCATGGTCACTAATTACACAAGATGAGACAAGGTTATCATTACCAGCATTAGAGAGAAAGTTGGAATAAGACCGTGTCTGAACTATATTGACAGACAAAGAATTAAATGCTTCGGCCATCTATAGAAA